CTTTAGCACAATAAAATCAATAAATTGTGCTTTCCTTTCAACGCAAAACATTTTAGGGTTGAAAATGCTGTATTTGACTGTCAAATATTCCATTTTTTTGTGTTTATTATTCCAGGACGGACTTTATCCCATTATGTTTTGGAGCGCGACTGCTGTCCCAAAAATCAACTGTCACAATGTTTTAGATTTTGTAAAGTTCAGACGTTCCTTGTACAGTATCAAAGTAGGAAACACTTTGCAATGCATGAAGCTTGGAAGGAATCTGGTTCAAGCTTATGAGTTTGTTTTGTATTTTCAGTATGACGAACACCTTACTCAGCTGGAACGCAAGATAAGTCTTGTTCAGGAGCGAGCTTTGGAGCAAGCCGAGACTGACTCCCTGGGCAACTGGCACCTGGACGAGGAGATGCAGGAACAGGACCATCATCAGGTATAGGATAAACCTCAGGAAACGTTACAAAATATCAATAATTTTAAAAGAGACAAATGGCTAATGGACCAAAAGTTGAATTTTGAAAAATGAAATTATTTCCCAGATTGATTTTGTGTTTTTTTAACAAAAGGCATTTAACACGTTCGCTGCTGACGACTCCGATCGGAGTCATGCCTTACTGGCACAGCGTGGGTGCGACTCCAGTCGGAGTAACGGTGCAGTGTTATACAAGTTGGTCTATTGTGAAATAATCTAAAAGAAGCCACTCTATCATGTTTGTTTTCACCACAGAGCCAGCCTGGGTCTCCGTCTCACTTTGGCAAAGGACAGACCGAGGAGTTTGACTTTGTGGATGTGGAGGGAGACATGGAGGGAGTGGACATCAAGACCAGAGTCAAGAAGGAGCCTGGAGTCCTGGAGGAAGGTAGGAGACCTTTGTAATCTTGGTTTGGTTGTTGCACATGTGCAGAAGTAAATTATTATCAGTTTGATTAATAATCTCTTAAACTTATTAGTTCTAAAAAGGTGATTGGATTCAATATCTTTAAAATTAGCTTAAACAGACTATGGGATAGTTTTTAGTGTTATTTGAAACTGATTCATCCTAATTTATGAACATATAACATGAAATCCACAAAACAATCAATCGGATGAGTTCAAAAACAAATAATATTTTACTATATTTTAGGTTCTGTAAGTCAAACTGTTATTACTTTGGATTGAGTCGTAATGTCGACTTTCAGGTATCGGACCTGAAAAATCAGGTTGCTTTTTGTCCTTTTTTGTTATTCTGTAATCGGGTTATAGGGTATTGTTCAATATCTTTGGCGGTTGCGGTAAATTGTGAACAAGCCCTAAACTGCAGCAATATTGTAAAACATCTCCTGTGATCGCAGCAAAATCATGAAAGTCTCCTACGATCCAAGTGAAATCGTAAACATCTGCCGTCACAGGAAAGTTCTTAACATCTTCTGTGGTCACAGTGAAATTGTGAAGATCTCCTTCAGTATTGACAAAATTGTGGATTTCTCCTACTATCACAGAAAAGTGTTTAACATCTTCAATGACTGCAGAAAAATGGTGATAATTTTCTGTGGTCTCGGATGAATCGTGAATGTCTCCTATGGTGACGGAAAATTCTCAAAGTCTACTGGGATTGCGACAAATGTTAACCAATTTTGTGGGTTATAACACAAGAGGGTAATCTCTTGTTGTAATGTTGCAGACCTGCAGTTCTCCAGTGAGGACGAGTTAGAGGAGGTGGGGGAAGGTGGAGAAGTGACAGACCCTCACTTGGATGACGACAGTCAACAAGCTGCTGAGGCTATGATGCAACTAGGGAACATTTCATATTGCGTGCCACAGGACCAAGGTAATCATCTTTTACCTACAACCGTTTTGTAAAGAAGCTATTTCAGTTCAGTTCTTAGAATTGAAAAGTTTCTCATAACAGCATTGTTTATTTTCATAACAGTTTAGTTTTACTCATAAAAACACGGGTAACGGACCAATGAGGTTGAAGGATTGAGAAAGAAGTAAAATTGTAATGATTCAAACTTCAACTAATCAGCTGTTCAGGCCATTTTAATTGTTGAGTGGTGCAATAAGTGTTTGGTTTAATGTTCAATGTGCATCAAACAAAATTTCTAGATTTCTACTCGTGCGTTAACAATATCTTTACGCAATCGTTGCGTAAACTACTATAGAAACCTATCATGTTCCTTGTACTTTAACGTTTACTGCAGCACTTTGTCTAGTTATTGCAACAAGCACTATGTACCTATGCATTTCTTGTTTGATGAATAATTTTTACGCAACATAGCACATATGGGTCTGCCCCGGTCTTAAGGTTTATCCCTGCACAGATGTATGTAGCAAAACAAAAATAAAGATTGGTTTGAACATGCCCTACTTCTGCCAAACAAAATTTTTGAATAAAATTTTGAGGACAGCTTCAGCTGGATGAAGAATACAATAATTTTTTAACAAAACTATACTTAAACGTCTAAAAATTAAAACTTGTGGCCAAGATTGCCCACAAAACTGTAAATCCAATAATATTGTCGTAAACCTAATTCTTTGTGCTTGGTTGGCCAGTTGTACCATTGATATTAATTAATAGAGCAGAGTTTGTTCAACATCAGCTATCTCTGTCACTCAAGGGGGCAGTTCACTTGGCCTCCATTCTCCGTTTATCAGATTGGCAGATTCTTTCCATAAACTCAGAATGTTGTTAGTTTATAGCTGCTCACAAGGTACTACACAGATGACATATTACATAAATTTTTGTTACAAACTCATATTATTATCAGAGCTGCTGACCTTTTGAGTGTTCGGCAAGGAGAATGATGAGAAATTTATCCAAGCTGATATCCAATTTACCATGGACAGTACAGCTAGCCACCCATCCAATTGTGATAATCTAAAATAAATCTTTCTGATCAAATGAGTTTTAATATTTTTTAAGTCTATTATCTAACTGCACCGTTAATCCATAGATGAAAGCATGGATGTGGATCCGAATTACGATCCATCGGATTTCCTGATGCACGGTTTACCTGGCCGAGAGAACAAACCTCACACTAGCGAGAAGATTCACGACGACCTGGCAGTGAGCGAGTCGGATGACGAACATCAGAAGGAGAACAACGACAACGTAGTGGAGAACATCAAAGTAGAAGATAACGACGTGGACGCTGGTGTTCTTTGGTTTTAAACTCTGAGCTGTCACAAAATCAGTCGATAAAGTGAAATATTTTTATATTGTACATAGAACAGTAAAATATATTTTAATTTGTAATTTTTTGTATAGCGATCTTAGTTTTTTATTTGTTTTAATTCTATCATGCAGGAATGGTAGTGTAAATATATTTTTTCTTTTATCTATTCCTCTTTGCGTTTATAGTATAAGGAAGACAAGTATTTTATGTTTATAAAAATCCTTTTTTCATAATATTAAAGATAATTCATTGAAACCTAGATACAGGATCAAAGTTCTGAATTTGCAGATATGTCACAACTGTATAATATACTTTTACTTTTAAAACAATATTGTTTATTTTTTGTCCAAATTATATAACGTGAAATAAAAAATTCGAGCTGTTGGCCCGTCCTACGTACGGGAATTGAGTAGTCCATTAAAACTATAGTGTGTCTATTACTAATTCAAGCATAGTTTAAGCAGTTCAAAATTTATAATAAAGAAAAAGCTTCCAAGATGAATTAAAACATGTGATCATTGTTATTTTCCCAACCTTTTCTCAAAAAGTCAAGTAGTAAAATAATTTTCATAAGCTTTCTTTTGAAGATTCGCAAGCTTTGATTCCTATACAGCAATGGTTATAGAATCTTACTTATTTCCTATAATCAATGACAAAATCACAGAGTAAATTAACTAACCTCATTTAAATAAACTCTCATCCTCTTACCGATTAAATTACATTAGCATTAAATTAGCAATTACACATAGTATAAATAAGTCAATTCTATGTATGTTATTTCATTTTTATCCAAAAGCTGAATTTGTGTCGAAAATGCTGAATGTTTACAGTTGTTACATTAAGCAAATGGTGCAGAACGTTAGCGTCGGCTGCCGGACTTTTTAAAATTTAAAACTTAATTTCTAAGAAACTGAAACCCAAAACTAAAATTATGGCTTCGACATTCCCCAGTTCTCAAAACTATCTTTCTTTCAACACAAAAATCATGAAAATCCGTCAAGTGGTTGATTCAGAATCGTGAAATAAAAAAAAACCCTGTCACGTTTTAATATGTATGATATTTAAATATCACTGTGGATTTGTTCAAGGGAATAAACTTGAAGATGTATACTAAACATAAGGTTGTTTTAGGTCCCATATTTTGTAAATTGTGATCACTGTTTGTCATGGTGAACTTTTAACCAATATGGGTTTTTTGTTTTTCAGGACGGGAGTCTTGTGTGAGATTGATTGAGATGATCATGACGTTGCTGATATTCTGGTGCTAACAATTTTAAATCCAATTAACAAGCTTAACAATGAATTCCAAATATATTAAATAATAGTGAGTATTGATTTTAAGTAGAGATTTGTTTTTAATTTTTGTTTGTTTTGACTGCTTTGAGTTTTGTAATTTCAGATATAAGATAAAAGATCCTCTCTTTGACCACCACCACCATTACAGTAGACTTCATCTTATCCAGACACCTTTTAACCGGACTACACTCGGTGGAAATTAAATCTCTTTAAACGGACAATTTTTATCATCACATTGGTTTAACCGGGCTAGATCGGCAGGAAGCGGGTCTTACTGAAACGACTGTTCTCTTGGGAAAGATGTGAGACTAGCGATTACGTGTCGAAATACAATGCTCTCCTAAATTTAAGGCTAATACTGAATACAGTATGCATTTAAACGGTCCGTTTTGACAAGTTTTTGGGGACATCGGTTTAACTGGAAAAACCGCTATCCGGACTGGCCTCGATCCCAAGGAGTCCGGATAAGAGAGAGTCTACTGTACTCTCTTTATTTTACAGGGTTAGAAGAGGATAATTAAGTCAATCAATTTCATATATTTCAATCAATTTTATACTTTTATTACAGTAAAAATTTCACTATAGTAATTCTGTGCAATTATAAAACAAAACACAGTAGATACAATATGTAACCAAAATGTTACGTCAATATAAAAAGTGTTACTACAATTTTGAAATTTCCTTCGTTACAATAGGGTGTAAAAATCACACCATTAACTATTAGCATGGAAGGTTAAGCGTAACCAGCCAGTGCGGTAGAAGAAGGATAGTGAGCTCTGGTGACTTGGCAGCGATCTTTGTCAATATACAGGGTGTTACGTTTGATTTGTATCTCTCGCTCAAGATGTCCTCGTGTAGTGTAGAGTCTCACTAAAGCGTCTTCGGCTTCCTTCAGTCTCGCCTGGAGACAGCTCACCTGATCTGCTATAGTCTTCACCTCCTCCACCAACCTACACAGATGGTAGCATTAGAAGATCGTCAGTTTGATTCTGAGAAAAGTCGCGAGCTTGATCGTTGGCTTAAACACCAGCTGATCCCAGTCAGCAAAAAACCTGTCAGCTGATTCATACAACACTCTTCTTTGACCGCTGGTGTGTCTGCATTGTGGAAATCGAATCTAATCAGTACAAACTAAATAAATAGACCATGTAAACTGTACTGTACTGTAAAGGAAAATCTAGACTTATCCTTAAGACGCAATAATGTCCACTTACTTGCCTCAAGTAAATTTCACCTTAGAAAAGAATATCCCCAAGTATGAGTGCTCAAAGATATTTAACAAAGTTTCGAATGAAATTTAGAATACTGAGTACCAAAAAAGGATAGTTCAAGGATAGAGATCAGCTGGCTTACCTGGTAGACAGAGTCCAGATTAGCTTCGGTAACACACATATAACATAACTCAAAACAGTAAAACTTAAACTAAAAATATTTGGTCACTGTTAGGGACTTCATCAGAAGGGAGTAGAAAGAAGACTGGCAGTTAATGTTCAAATTTAAAGGTCCACAACAGTGCCACCAACTGTAGTTTAAATTGAAATAAAAATTCCTGTTACCATGTCCATCTTTTTTATTTTCAACAGGAATGTTTATTTCAATTCAAACTACAGTTGGCAGCACTGTGGAACTTTTAAATTTGAACTTTAACGGCCAGTCTTCATTCTTTTCCATTCTGATGAAGTCCCTAACAGGGACAAAATGAAAATATTAAGCTTTACTGTTTTGTGTGTGTTACCAAAGCTAATCTGGACTCTGTCTACCAGGTAAGCCAGCTGATCCCTATCCTTGTACATAATAATCCTAATCAGCTAATTGGCTTTTACTTAATTCCTGAATACCAAAAAAGTGAAGGACAATATTCAAGAAACAGTTATTGAGCTATTACTAGTCACTAGTAGAGTACTTTGGGGACGAGTAAATATAGGAGTTTTCAATGGAAGATTATCGAGTAAATACATAATAACATACCCAAACTGAGGTTTGTCACGACAATTCTCTGTGCGAGGTCGATGCAGTCGATTGTCCAATCTAGTCTGAGCCTTCTTCATCGGAGCGTCCATTGCCCGTATGGCCGCCTTCAACTCTCCAATCAACTTTTCAGTCTCTGCTATTCTTCGCACAACCTACGAATAGTGAATTCAGTTTTATATCCTCTCTGTTCTCAGATGGTACGACACAGATGTACACTTAGGAAAGAAGAGTTGGCTTTTTAATTGCTAATTGGAAAGTGATGATGATTTAATCATTCAAGCATGTTATTTTCACTTTTTTTTAAATGCATATTGTTGTGGTACTTGCTGTGAGGACAGTTTTGCGGGGCCACATAAATGGTCAGAAATAAAGATAGTGATACAGTGACCATTACATACTACATTACAGTGTAATGTAGTAGGTGTAGTAGTAGGTGACTCAGTAGTATATGGTGACGAGGAGTTGAGATCACGCAAAAAGACTGTTATTTGCTCTTGTAATAAGACTGCTTTACCCATAAACAACATCAAAACACAACAAATATGTCTTAAGTCAAGACAACTATCGTGTTAAATAACACATAAGATCATGATGAAATGTTACTGTACCACTGCAAGTTCGTTCTCCAGCGCCTGTCTGCAGAGATCGGTTTCACGCACACGTCGTGCAAGAGCCTGCTCCACACGGTCAGCTTGCGCGCGCAGATCTCTCACACAGTCGCTCAGGATCGGTCCGTCCAGCAGCGCTCGCAACTCGCAAGACTGTCCTTTCACCTCCTGCGCTGTCTGTAAGATGTCCTTCACATTGTCTTCCCAACCTGCCGGTGTAGACTGGCTGCAACACGTTTGAACAAGTTCAATCAATCTCATGAAAATCAGAGAACTTGCACCGTTATTCCTTTCCAGCTACATTTCTCATTTGCAGATGGAATATTGGTATCTTAGTAAGAGAAAATATGAAAAACCTGCACCAACCTCATTGGACAGCACACTAACCTTCCATGGTTTGCAAATTTGGGTTTGAGACAACACTTTAAGCTTACATTCAGTGTCTACAATTATAATGCAATATAGGAAATTATATTTTGCATTTTCTTTGTGTTCATCGGGTATGTATGTGGTTGTTTTGTCCAATCAGCTAATGTTTTACATATTTGTGAGCCTCTTATGTAATTTATAGTTTAGTTTGTTAGGACAAACAATGATAGAGTAAATAAAAAGTAGTTTTAAAGTCTCTCTAAAACTCTTAATGTGAAGACTTGACTTGCAAAAACAAGCTTCTACACTTCTCAAAACACAGGTATCCTACATGTAATTATTAGTTACTTCATCTATTACTTCACAGTTTAACTTATTAAACACCTTTCTGGAAAGCGTGTGGCCCCAGGTTTCAAGAGAATAGTCCTAGATTTGATGGTGAGGTTGGTGTTGATAGCTGCAATCTGGTAAGTTTGCTTCTTGTCCGACCAATCGTCTTCCATCCGAGCTTTGATTGCTTTGTTTCTTGCTTGCTGTTCCTCTATCTGGATGAGTGTTCTATCGATCAAATCTTCAACTTCTTTCACCAAGGCTGCTTCCTATCAATTGAGTAAACCAATAAGACTGAGTGTTAAATAATTTACTTTGTATTTTCGGGTCTAATTTAATATTTAAAAGTTTTATTGACAAGGCAATATTGTCTAAATGAGGAAAGGGCTTAAGTCCCAAGGTGCATCAAATGCATATTTTGGATTGCTACACAACATCCGGATATGTTGGATTTCTATGCTATGCACGATGCAAAGTTTATGTAATAGGCTTAAATTCGAGCAACAGGCTGACTTCTTCAAAGGAAACTCCTACATACCTTGATCAATTCTTCCTCAGCTTCATCTCTCACTAAATCAGGTTCCATCCTTTTGGCTCTGCGACTAAGGCATTCTTTTGCTATATTCTTTACTATACCTGTAATGACAGCAAAGAATAAGTAAGAATAAAAATCTCAAAGAAAGAATTCAAATGGTTACTCATAAAAATTATAAGAGTAAGGAATCTCTGTTTCCTTGCATTTAAACTATGAAACTTGTAAAGTCTTCATTTCAGATTGATAATTTTAAAGGTGTAATTGTAGTTATGCATTGCAGTGGAGCAGTTTTCAGGCCACACAGTGCACATGTTATTCTTTTAGTATACGTTTCAAAATAGCACATTCAAACCAGTCAAATTTTGTGGGGAATTTTCAACTGGATTTACACTTTTGTAACTACTGGCGCCCTTTGCATTTTTTAAAACAGTTTCCAAACAAAAGCCCATGAAAGGATGTCTTACTAGTAGTAGTAGTAGTGAGGAGGTTGTACTGTTTAAGCAATATAATGGTTACAGTGCCATTGAATTTACAAAGGATCATGGTTGTTTCATCGTTTCCCTTTAAACCCATATGTGATTGGACAGCTTCCCTACTAATAATGTGTAGTATTTATACAAGAACTCATACAACATGAAAAAACTAAACAACAAATATTAAAGTCGTCTTATTCACTGACACAGAGCAGTCTTGGCTTGACGAGCTCGTCTTCTTTGTTCTTCTAACAAGTCAATCTCTGTGATCATATCCTCTATGGCTCTCTCCAGCTCAGTTCTCCACCGCAGCACCTCGTGAGCTCTTTGTCCCAGCCGCAGCGTGTTGTCGTGTTGCTTCTTGTCTGCAGCCGCTGCGATGTTCTCCATCGCCTCTCGGCTGTTCAGCTCAGTCCTGTCAAACAACACTTACCTTTTAGAAGTCTAGATGGTCGGCTCCAAATAAAAAGTGACAATGTTGATATTATTTTTGTCTAGATGGAAACTCTCTTTAGGTATTTGTGAAAGTTTATTTATGCAACTCAAAGAGGTTTCTCTTGCAGGGCAGTTGTCGGTGCTTATTTCACTGTTGCCCAACATCTATACTGCTGACATACATCTGATTCAGTCCAGTAAATTTATTTGGAATATTTTTGGAATGAAGGTTCTTAAGACAATGACTTCTAGAGCAGCCCTATAGTGTATTTGTTATACAGAGTTAGGGAAATAACTTTTCTGCACTAAGGTGTAACCTGGTATTTTAAAGAAGTTTGCACCCTCTTTTAACCTTGTTTCTTCCTTTCATGGGTCATGGCCCTGTTTGTGAAATGTATCAAGTTTAAGCAAGTGGTGAGCTAATATAGTGAAAGAATTAACATTCACCAGAACCTGACCCACGACATCGCTACCATGGATGGTCTGTCATGAACTCAAATGAACCTCATAAATTCCAAATTGTATTAATTGTTGTGCCTTTGTAAACTTTGATTTTTTTACTGGATTTTTTTGTAATATAATCATGAAACAATCTAATTATGTATTAAGCCAAACAGTTGCGGCTAGATGTGAACATCACTCACACATTAGATCTCCGTTGTTCTTCACTGGCCGCACACAAGATGTCATGATTGTGTTTTCTCCACTCCCCCTCACTGTATCTGGTGATGGAGTAGCTGTCTACCACAGGTCTGGTGCCAGTCAAGTTACCGAGGGGGCCCCAGTCTACACACCCTGAGGCCCAGGGCCCGATGGGGCCCATCTCTCCTGCTGGAGCCCTGACTATGTCATCGCCAGGTTGAGGTAGGAACTGAGGCTCTTTTGTACCCGAAGCATCTCCAGTTCCTACTGCTCCCATCACGTCCTGTGGAAAATAATACAATGCGAACATTCAAACCCTAGCCATAAATATTTAACACCCCCCCCCTTCAGAAAATACAATAAACTATAGCCTACCATAACTTATTCCATTTCAAGTTCGGTGGAAACTGCCTGCGACTTAGAGCAGTTAAATCAAATTTAATCAAGGTCCTTAGTGATTTTTTTACATTGATAAGTATCCTCATTTATTTACATGGATAAGTACCTATTTGATTTGATTTTGTAAAAATAAAACTGAACTGCCTAAACTTTAGATAGGGTTGGCGTAGAGACCTCCAGTTTGTGCCATTCTTTTTCTTTTATTATGACCTTTTACAATTATGTTCAACTCGACAGGGGTTTACATTTGAAAATATCAACTTACTTTCAAACTAAGTTACCTCTTGGGGGGGGGGGGGGGGGGTGAAAATTTACATACACCAAAAACTTACTTTTTTGATCATATAAACATAAAACATTCCCTGATATTATAATGTTATCTCTAATAAAGAAAAATAACGGGACTTTTGAGACACACTGTACCTAAGAGTCTGAAAGTGTGATGTGTAAAAAAATGAGATAAAACACTAGCTACAAAAAATTAAAAATACTTAGCACGTGTCTAATTATTTGCTTTCATCTCATCACAAACTAACAAGTTATAGGGATCCTTCTCCTTCCTTATTGTAAAATGTGCAGATCCTCACTGTAATGGAACTAACTTAGAGTTGTTCTAGAGAATACGCAGCATGCCTAATATAGTGCATAGACATAACCCAACACTATAAACTATTTAACATTTTTACTTTTTGACAAAGAAAGTAACAATAGCTAATTATTTTGAATAAATTTCGTTTTGGTAATTTGTTATGCCATTCAAGCACGATAGAGGAACACAGCAAATGTTTGAGATGCTTCAGAAAACTGCTAGTAATTCTTACCTTTCCATAATCACCAAAAACTACATTTTGTCCCTCACACGTACAATCTTCCTGCGGCATTACTTTCTATAATTTTAACTTAGTAACCAATCTAGAAACACGCCAAACAAATAAATACAAGACCCCTTGTCACCCGTAACTAACGCCTAACGTCTCCCGGGCAACCAATAAAACAGATGATACTATAGACAGCTGTTAAAGGGGTGCATCTTCTTTAACCTGATATATTTGGAATTTGGACAACATAAATAATATATATTTGATCTAAATTTAATTTAAATTCAAATTTTAGGCTCATAGGTCATACAGTAGGTAAAATTTATACTCATGAGATATTTAAAACATGAATATGTAATTTACCACGATAAACTCTACGGTGTAATAAAATGCGTAACCCCTTGGTTGAGAAATGTATACAGACTGGGTGCACTGAACGATAATAATTATCGTAAAAATATATTAGGGTAGACTTCCGTATCTGTTGTCAATATATATTACACATTGCACGATAGCTTATGCTGGTCCTAAGATTTCTTGCAATGGTAATTTGGCGCATTTCAATTTTCAACTGACAGCATACCGAGATTATAATATATCTTAATAAAATCCTAAGTCCAGAAAAAAAACTACAGTATGTAGATCAAGATCATATGCCTTTTTGCGCTTATTTGAAGTTTTTTTTAAATCTTCTCTATATTTTTTTTTATAACACAGCGACTCTTATATTAGTCAGTGTCAAGATTGATATTTTACTACTACAGTACCAAAGTGTAATTATTGATTGACCCTTTAACAGAAAACAGGTAAGAACGTCTACATTCTTTTACTTTATAAAATAAAAACATGCAAAAGATTTGAAAAATAACTCTGCGGTATTTTTAACTAACATGCCATGATAGTCCGTAAACTTGTTAATCTTATAAAATCACAAGACGTCTAATAAGTATCTTTTCAGGCATACAGTTACAGGAATATACGCGATGGGACAAATTATTTTTGGATTCCATGGGATTGTTCTAGGAGCCATGCTCAACGATACTTTTACTACTTTCGTTTTGTACTGTATTACTACAGCTGTTTTCTCCCATATGTTCAACCAACATGTTTTTTCCAGAACTATCAGTATCAGTCAGAGTTCAGAGTCAATCGTCATTTCGGTCGTTTGTTTGACGTTTACGGGATTTGTTTGTTTATTAACTGAAGTTAAAAAATAAACTGTTACCTTAATCAATTTGTCTTAATATTGTCGGCGTTGGTTGAGAATTTGTGTAATTCAATTAACAATCGAAAGAATACTATAGTTAATTTTGCTTGCCACTTAAAATGTAAACAACATATTATAGAGATAACTGTGTAGGTTAACTTTAGTGTAAATCCTTCGTTTTGTTTTGTGTGTTTATTTTAAATTGCAAAAATTGCAGTGAATTCAGCAATTAAGCGTTTTTTGAGTGCCATGATCTTAGAAGACGTCGAAAATGAAGACATGATTGATGGTGGGTTAAGTTATGCAATTTGCCTTGGCTATAGGCTACTTAGGCCTATATGCTCAATAATTGCCTCTCTGTCAGTGATTCATCATAAGACATAGGGAAATATCTGTTTAGTATATGTGTACTGATTCAGTATTTTTGTTTCAACCTATGCAAACTTTGAAAACACTTTTAAATCCGATTATCGATTGTTACAACTGATATAGGCTAGAAAGTTTAGGTTTTGGTAAGTTTAAGTTTGGTTATAAATTGAATCAATAATTTTATTGCTAAGATTATAGGATGGTGTAAAATATCAAAGTGTAACCTAAACTATTACTTAACTTTTTTTCAATTTACATAGTTAAAGTAGGCTGCTCAAATAGGCTAGGCTTAGCCTTAGGCCTACCATAAGTTAATCAAAATTGGTTTAACTTAGTCATCGGCATTGTACAAATGATTGGCCCTACCATGTCTACCCTTCTCTGTTCAACACGCTTAGGCCTAAGTTACTTTAGAAATAGTTTGCCTTATGACTTAAAAAATGTGATAGGCCTAAATTAAGTTTTTGTCTAGGAAAAAAATCTGGCCAAGTTTAAGATAGCCAAAACGTCAAACTACATACTTTGTTTAGACCAGTGGTGTCATGGCAAGTTTTGCAGTGGTGGATCGGGTCACCTGGACCAGAACTGAGGTATAGGGTGCTCCTCCCTGCACAGCCCCCCAACCAACTACTTAGGCCTACATGTAGCAGAATTGTTTAAATGTTAATGATGCGAAATGGCCCAATTTAACTTGTAGCGTTTTTACTTTTTGACACTTTCAGTGGTGATTTTTTATGCTGTCTGCTAACTTGTGTCAAAACTAATTTGGCTCACGGCAGACATGAGAGTGGTTTAAGGGTTAAACCACTTTTTTCAAACCTTTCCTCAATAAATTAAGCACTTGGACTTTTTTCATCTTCAGATTGTTAGGTTTGGCCCGACGTGTTTCTTGTGTCATCTGCTACATCTGCAATGTCTATAAGCATAGAATGTCGTACCCAAAACCAGTGCTGGAACGGCGTTCCGGTACGTTCTGGCACCATGACACCCCTGGTCTAGCCAGACAATGTTTAGGAGGAACACTCAGGCGTCATTCTTCACAAGTCATTATTCTCCTCCATTAGATTTTTAACCATTAACTTAGTCTAGGATATAACAAATCACAATAGGGAACTTGTACCATTGACAATATACCACAGCCTCACTGGTTTTTAACCAATTGTATCACTTAACAATAAATTTTAAAACCAATCTAAAAAAAACCGACTCATAGGCCTATGTGCTTAGTTGGCCATTTAGGTTAATCACATTCCAAATTACCTAATTTAAACTTAAAGTACCATGACTGAGCCTTGCTCGTTTGGTTAATAAAACAATATCGTGAACAGACATTATTACAAACCATACATTTGATCGCTGAAATGCAATCAAACAAGACTTGAATACAATTTATGATCTTGCTTAATTTTAAGTGCTAATCACACAGAATATTTCTCCCCAAAATGATATATAAACAAAATCATATCACTTTAGTTTCAAAATGGCTTGTGACAATGATTTTTCACTTTTTCGCTATTGCTTCTAAAGAAATTGGAGATTATGTCTGCCTTTTCATTGGGATTTAGCATATGGTAGCCTAATAGTTTTATGCCAATTAAAACCCCAAGACATAATTAGTTAACTTGGAATGCCTTAGTACTTCAGGGATTAAGTTTTGTTGGGAGAGGGCCAGGTAAAATAATCAGTATTTGATCAGAACTATTTTACCCTATAGGGTCGGTAATCTTCAGTGCAATCTTTGCTCAATAGCTAAGTTTCTCTTTGTCACAGGACTGTATTTAGTAATTTGCTAGCCTACTGAGGATGGCTTGTTATAAACACAAGTATTTTGTTTACGTTTTCCTTGTTATTTTGTTTAACCAACATAGTTACTTTAAATTTTTTAATAACTGGTTAAATTTTTAAATTTTCAAATGAAGTGTGTAGCGAAATAAGAATGTTCCTGAGGTATTGACTCTCGCCAATCGCGTTTTTATGTCTATAAGTCTATTATTCAAATTCCTTCTTCTGGATTTTGAAATAATATTACAGACAGACAAACATACACAACTCCTATTAGGTTATGTATAGGATTATAATTTCTAGAAATAATAATTGCTCAGTTACCTATCTTTACGTTTTAGTAAAAGATTAAATTTCTAGGTTTTCATAGACTTATTACTATCAATACAGTTTAAAATATGTATTGCAATTGTAATATTTCTTTGTTATGAACTCCTAAATATTACAGGTGGTGGCAAACAGCCAGAAGATAGTGGAATGGAATCTGACAACGCTTCTGGTAAAGTACAATTTTAAATCAACTATTTGTAGATAATTTAACTGTCATTGACAAATTAACTGTCATTTTTCACCTATGCAAGCCTACATCTGTGAAACATAACCTGTAATTAGGTTCAAATTGAAAAAAAAACACACATGAGTAAATTTGTTTCTCTGCAACATCGCCAGTGTTGCATGTGTAAGTCGAAGTCGTCATTGCGTACGTGTTGCTAAAAACGGTATTACACTCTCTTAGTTTCCCCTGATTGCATTAGGATTTGTCAGGCTTCCCGACAGTTCCAAGGTATCACTTGTTGGCCCCTACCTACCCTAGTTGTATTGCGTTGCGTTATCCACAATTCTACTTTTTATTTTGTGTGATAGTTCTATTTGTTTGCGGTGATGTTAGTTGTTTTTTCCAAAGTTTTTTTGTAAATTTTTGGTTAAGTGAGTTTTGTACCAGTGTTTCAGCTTTTGAATTGTGTAAGTATTCAAAACTTTCAAAATTGTGTATGACTACTATTTGATCATTATTACTTAGGTGGTGATGAGTGGGGGAACATGGTGGCCCTCCCCAATATTAGAGTACTAGTACCATTGGTAAATTAGTATTGTAACCCAATGTTTATGGGTCATATAACCATATTCTGGATGGGTTTTACCCCCCTGTTCTAATGCTCAATCATTGCCACTGAATTTTTATTTATTCATTTCATTCCGACGGGAAATAACCAATACTTATAGGAAACATGATGCAACATGGCTACTAACAAAGGATATACAAACATATACAGAAAATACAAATACAGAAATATATAAGAAATGCAGATACAGAAATACAAATTAGTATATGTGTGCAAAATATTTGATATTTCAAAAAGATTTAGTATGAATGAAGGTTGTTCTAACTCTTGATTATCTTTTAGAACTAGAACAAATAATCTTCATTGATTTTCAATTACAATATGTTTGTTTTGCTAATAAGTTAAAAGTAACCAGCTTTTTAACTACCAAGGAAAACATCTTAGTACCTATTGAATTGTATCCAGCCTATAATTAGAAAATCATAGTTTGTCTTTACTCCTAAGCAATTTTTATAGGTAGTGACTTAGGGCGGACAAATCATACTACCTTTTATAGCCTACATCATTATTTAGAATTAGCATCCGGTGGTCAAGTATGCTTTGGTGTTAAATTTTCCCGTTTCTTACAATGTCTCTTTTTGTATATTTTTTTTATCACTATGGTTAGGTACCCACAACATTTTTTTGCACATGTTTTGGCCGTTTTGGGTAATTTAATTACTATAATTGTTTTTAAAATAATAGTCTAAGTTCAAATACTTTTTTGTATACAAATTTGATTGCTCTGCATATTTAAAATTTTTGAAACGTTTTACAATGCTCTAGCTCAAGTAAAATAGTTTCAAAAAGTAATCTTCCACCATCTTTTATTTGAAATGGTTTTTGTTGTTGACTGGGTGTTAAGAAGTATCTGAAGGGTATTTTCTTTGTAATTTTAGCATAAAAAATCTCATTCATAATACCCACTTCGATTATTTCCTGGTTGGGCGTTGTCTAGTGCTCTCAATCTTCTCATATCTCCCCACAGTTTCTTTTTCTCCAGAATCTGTTCCTCCAGAATCAGACAACTCACTTTGTTTTGTTTTCTACATCCGCTCTTTCATCCCAGTTTCATACAAAAACCTTCTTGGGTTCCCTCTCCAGTGGCTGAGTCAAATTTTTAGTAAAATTTCTGTCTTCTCACATTCCCAAACTATACTAGTTTTGCTTTTTTTTATAGGTCCTATCCTCTCTTTTACAGTAAAAATATTTTTTTATATTTAAAGATCCAAAAATTTTTGGAAATAATTTGCTTAGGTCAAGCATCTCTCAAAGTTAGTTACACAAATCATTTACTATCCAACTACCCACAAAATTATTTAATTTACTTACCAAATTCGATGATAAAAACATAACCCATAATGCACCCAATTATGTTGACTCGTTATCAATAATCCGTCTGATTTGAAGGCAGTGAGTCAGGTACGGATTGGATACCTTGTTATCAGCTGAGCCTTATCACTGTTATCGCTAACACCTCAACTTGTGGTCGCCATTGTTGAAAGGAAGTTAGAAACATGATTAGTGTTTGCCATTTGTATTGGTTAGGCCTAAATGTTTTCAGTCAGTCGATGTCTGTTGAATCATATCGTTCAGTATTTCCATGGGCATCAAGGTAATTTTTTTTATTTGTTAAGAATTCAAGGTTGAGTATTTTAATGTGTTCCACTTCTGAAAACTCGTGAATACATATTGTAAATATTTTTAAAACTACAAGGAACTCAATTAGTACATTTAAAAAAATGTTTTCACACTTCTTTATATTAAATTTTGAAAATTGTTTGACTCATTTTATAGTTAAGAACCAACAAAATTTATATTTTTTTAGAAGCTGTGAATTTACTGTTTTTGTACCACAAATGGTCTCAGCAAAGGTTATAAAAACACATCACAAATTATCATGATTTAGTGTCTCTATTTTCTTTGTCATACTTTTCAAAGAAAAGTTTTAAAAATGGTCTTTTATTTTGTTCGAGTAAAAACTGGTCCAGGCCTAATATTTAAAATACAAATCGTTTATGATTATTTATTCTGAAAAGTGTAGATGTAAGTTTTTGTCACTTCTGTACATTTAATTAGTGAACTAATTAGTTAAAACAATTTTTATTATATTTTTAGGGCATTTAATTACAGCACTAGTCAAATTCTGAAGCAATGTTTGTTGGCTTTATAAAAATTACAAAAAACCTATGTTTATTGAACTTAAATATAAACACTATTGAAAACATAAAATGAAAATGATGCATAACTTAAATATTCAAGCATTTGAACAGGCCTACATTAACATTAATTTTAAGTTGTCAATATCCATTTTGATACCAAGTAGGCCTATCACTGAAATGCACTGGTAGGACACGTGTCACAGTGAAGAGCCAATGGGTGATGGCCTTTGCATATGGGTTTTAAATGTTGTTAAAAATATGGTTTGGATTAGAGTAAAGTTTTTTCATTTAGGTTCATGCTTCCATTAGTTTTGCTTTCTTCAAGCCGTGGTTTATAAATCTTAAATTCAAAGAATAATTAATTCGTTAAGAGTGTTACGTCTGCTTCCCTTGTTGTAAATGTGTAGGATTTCAAGGCTGTCACCTGTGTCATTCATGTCATGTTATTATCAACCAATGTGTTGAGCAAACAATGACTTTTGCCTCACATTATGGGGGGTCCGCTCTGGTCTGTGCAATTTGTAAGTAGTCCTGAACGTTTTTAATTTTTAAGGACTGTTGTTAAACCTAAAACATGTTTCTCATAAAAAAACTCTTGATATTTTTTGGTCCTGTTGAGTTTTCCATTACTAACATGTTCTATCTTGTTTTCCCCAGAGAGTGCAGGGGAGGGGGGAGGTGGAGGACAGGAGGAAACGGACAATGTAGCCAGTGGACGAGATGATGACCAGAGCCGACCTGAGAGTCGCACAGATACTATTACTTCCGCTACTCCAGGTGAGTTTAGGTTAGGTGAGGCTAGGTTAGGTAGGTGAGATTAGGTTGAATAGATTTTGACCAAACCTTTTTTATATGAAAATATCTTTGTCCCTGTCTCTTTTAACCTTGTATTTGTCTGTCCACGTTGCCCTCAAAGACCTGTGTGTTTAATACATTAAACAAAGGAAGGGTTAGCACTACACTACTATAGTTGGATGTGTTGTCTAGCCTAGTAGTGAGCGTCTCAGGCTTGATTTACAGACTCATTTACTCATTTACAGACTTACTCAGACTTCATTTACAAAACTTAAATAGGTTTGGACCTATTTCCCTTAAAAGCGTTTAAACTAAAACTTACTTAGTCTCAATAAAAAATGCCACTGGCAAAAAAAAAAAAATTGTAAACTGTAGTGCCATGTTTTTATATGATTTTGAAGTCATATGGGCTACTAACTGAACCGCTCACCAACTCACCATTTCCTTGTAGATCATATTCCATCAGATCAACAACATTACATGTTAACCCTTTGCGGTCGAATGGCGAATATAGGTCGCCGCCCGCCATTTTCCTGACCGCTCGAAAATGGCGACCTATACTAAAAAAAAATCCAAAAAATTATTTTTGCAGTTGAATGGCAGGTATAGGTCACTGGGCGCCATTTTCCCGACTGCTCTAATGGCATACTATACTCAGTGAAAAATGGGAAAAAAATTTAACCTCAAAGGGTTAAGTTTATCTATTCCAAGACTCGTTCATTTTGTGTTCATCTGTTGTTGATCATTGAGCTTTCAATATACGGTCCTGGCGAAACCTGCCGATCTTAGTCAGTAAAAAATCTATCATAATCATTCAGACCCTTCACGTTAGTCGCATCAGGATGTGTTGTCATTGTATAAATTGAATTTAATCTACATATTCGTTCATAACATTTTACTGGACAATTGCACACTGTACCTTCGGTATTAATTTAGAAAATTACTGAAGTAGCTTTCTGTGATAGGCTAGCCTTACAGTATTGGCGAAGAAATCGAGCTGGTCTATTAATTGGTAGTTAGTGAGTCTATGTCTCTGAGGTCCATTGAGGAAGGACATAAAGCGTATATTAGCTTTATATTAGCGCAGACAATTCTAAAAAATCAACTCTTTCCACACAGAGAGTGAGCGTCGCAGTGTGAGTATAGCCACGATGTTGCCGTGGGGAGCGCACAAGGAGAGATCGCCGCAGCTAACCTCTCTCAACATGGACATGGACATAAGGCCGGGGGAGTTTGTAATGCGCACACTGTTTGCAGACTTCACACTACAGGCGGAGAAGAAAATAGAGACTGTACTGTCTGAGCATGTGAGTAGATTTTAGTTTTTCTTTGTAAAAGTGAGACGCCTCAACGTACTTCTTCTTCAAATTAACTGTCTTTGAAGAGGGCGTAAGGTACTTAATAGTTTTGTTTTATGCAATGATAAACAAAATAATTATAAAATTTAATTCTGATCTTGTGAGATGATGACAATCGTTTCTTGTTTAAATTTACTGCTTCCACTCAGGATGTACGGTAAAGTGTTTTTTCAAGCATTAGTAGATAAGAAAAATATTACTTTTCTCTGTGTAGGAGATGTAATGATTATCATGCTTATCAAAATTTAGGTAAGGGTATATGATTCTATATAGTTAAATTACGTAGAAAAATAAACAAGGTAAATAAACTTAATCTCCTCATATATCGCTATTATCATTTTTGAACTCTATTCTTGCTTTTGTGGAATTTCCTTGATGTTAATGCTATAAAATCTGGCCCCAAGTTAATTTTTAGTACTCTTTCAACTATTTGTCCACTCTCTGTTTTATAGTTAGTTTTGTAACACCCCTTATATATTTTCCTCAGGAGAAGCCACTGTCCAAAGTGCTGCAGCGAGGGGAGGACCCAGTATTTGATCAGCTGTTGTCTGCATTTGGTTGTGTCGCTGAACATTGCCTACCGTCCATGCTCAAAGCTCTGTTTGCATGGTACGAGAGACAACTGGGAGATTTGGGCACCATCGAGGCAAAAAAGGTGGAGCAGAAAGGGAAAAGGTAATTTTTGTGGGTGTTTTGTTGTTGATTGTGAGTTGCTTGAGCATTTATTGGTTCTCAGTTTACAGGAAAACATTGGAATTTTGACATCTCTACTCTTTTGCTCTACTTAATTAAATAACTTCTTGATCAGCATTGTACGTGTTATTAAATTTACGGAAAGTAAATAAAAGAAACGTCTTATAACACTTAAAACATATATTTACGCTTATACTGTTACTCACAAGACGGTAAATATACAAAAACGATGGTAAGTGGTGATCGATTTCGATTGGACACTCCAATCATCATCAGACCCAATAGGCGAATGACAAGAATCTTGAATGGCGTCCCTACTTATACCCTATTGGCTACCGGAAGCACCGGCCAATACATTTTTATAAGTACAACTGGAATCAAAATGTATTTGTTCATTAATCAACTTATTTCTATCTTTACATTTTTCCTTATAAATATACAATTCTTCCCAAGCATTCATTACATATCCTTTCTTACAATTCTTTAAAATATCTAGACTATCCTCCATTTTTCCTAGTGAGTGCCCATTTTGTAACAGGTGTTGTGCGACATTTGATCTTTCCGGTTTGTTGTTCCTCCACGCAGATATGTGGTTTTTGAAGCGGTTTACGAAGTTCACAGTCTGTCCAATGTAGAAGCTATCACAATCGTTACAATTGATTTTATAGATGCCCGAAGTGTCAAATTTGTTACAATCTTCTATTTTTGGATGCAGTATTTTACTCATGGTGTTTTGAGTCCTGTAGGCTATTGAAACTCCGTATTTCTTGAATCTGTTAGCAGTCCTTTGTGTTGTAGTCCCCGTGTAGCTAAATGTGATATATCTGGTGCTTTCCTCTTTTATCTCTTCTAATGTTGTTCTGCTGTGTAGTGTATTCTGTCTATCGATTTTTCTCCTCGTCTTCCTTGCGATGTCCTCTACCGTCTTGGTTCGAAATCCATTCACTTGAGCGATCTTCTTAATGGTGTCCAGTTCTTTTTTCCTATTGGCTTGGCTAAGTGGGATCTTATAGGCTCGGTACAGCATAGATCTAAAGCTAAAGACAAAGAGCGTAAATATATGTTTTAAGTGTTATAAGACGTTTCTTTTATTTACTTTCCGTCTACTTAATTGCTAGAAAGTTTAAATAAATTCATTTTAAAGATGGAGAGAAGTAGATACTCCAATAAAAATTTACCCATTTGGTGAATTTTATGTCTGATGATGATTGTTAAATCGTAAAAGCCTGTAGTAACATTTAAATTTTGAGTGTTTAAATTACCAAGAGTAGACTGTAGGAAAACCTGAATGGAATAAAAACTCGAGACAGGAATTTATTATAAAACCCTCTTAGTTTTCCTCGATGATTGTGATGATGGCATACCATGACAAAACTGGTCGTAAATGCTGACCTAGTCCAGTATTTACAGATTTTGCCTCCAGAAAACCTAAAATCATTTTCTTGACAGTTGTTTGTTGACTGTTTTTAACAATATCAGCACATTTTACTTGGGTTAGTTGGGTTCTTACACAAATTTGACGATGTTTTGTTACGTTACAGCGGAGACACAGCTGAGCGTAGTGAGATTGAAGCGCTGCAGGAGAGACGAGCCCTGGCTGTAGAGTTCATCTTTTGTCTGGTGCTGATAGACGTGTTGAAGCAACTACAGTTCCACCCTGGTCATGAGGATCTGGTGTCGGACATCGAGGACGTAGCGTTCAAACACTTCAAGTACAAAGAGGGGTTCGTACAATGATTTGTTGATATACACAAAACCAGATGTGGGAATATGCCAACTGCATAAAAGATGTTCTAAAAAAGGAGGATCTAAAAAAAGCTAGACTTGAAAAAACTATTTTGTATCAAGGGCTATTACCATAGGTGACAAGGAAAGACCTAGACCCGGGTGTTAAGAAAGATATAATTTTGTTCAATAATTCTATGGTGGTAGTCAGAATGTGCACACTATCACAGATAATGCTACTAATGAAATTTAGTCAATGACACCATCTAGAATATTTTAAAACACAATAAATGAGCTTGTCATCTTCATAAAGCAAAACAAAATCGTAGCTTGATTCCATTTTTAAACAATTTAAACGCAAGACTATAAATTAAAATAAGTAGGCTTACTGAAAACAAAACAATTTTTCTGAAATAAATAAATACCATTCCTTGAGCAAGATAGCTATTGAGGTTTAAAACTAATAACTGACTTTCCCTAATACAACAATTCTCCCAAACAAGTTTTTATCTCACCATTGCTTTTGCAATTATCACCTCCGTCACCTCTGTAAATGTTTGAAACAGTCAAGTTGTAACACCAAACATTAGAAGAAGTGTTCACAGATTAAGCCATGGAAGCTTGAAAAATTACAGTCATATCTGGCGATTAAATGCTTATGTTATTCAACTCGGGCACAGATTAATCTAAACAACTTGCTACAATTTAGTTTCTTATCTGTCCACAGTGTCCAGAACAGCACCAACGCCAGTAATGTTCACACAGTGGCCGATCTGTATGCCGAGGTGATCGGAGTCTTGGCCCACTCGCGCTTCCTCTCCGTCCGCAAGAGGTTCATGTCCGAGTTAAAGGATCTTAGAGCGAGAGAGCCAAGTTCAAACACTACTCAGAGCATCATCTCGCTGCTGATGGGGATGAAGTTTTTCCGCATAAAGGTAGGCCTACGTTGTCTCGTAACTTGTTGCGGAAATTGAATAAAGTGCTTAATTCTGTTGTACTAGGATTTTGATCTAGGTTAATTTTAAATGTTTTCCTGTCGTGTGCCAATACAAATTTTTTGACGTTTAGCCCTAATGTTTTAGTCAAGTGAAAAATATTTAGTCCTACTTGTTATTCAAATCAGCAGATTTGTATGGGTATGATAATTAAACAATTCTGGTCCTGTATACTGAAGCAATGCTTCAAACAGTGTTAATCTATGGCTAGTGTAGGCCTAAATAATTTGTTTTACCTAATGTATTTTTAAGCTGTTTCTACTAGTCAATAGTGAATAAATCAATTTATTGCTGTTGTTTGGTGGTCTACCAATACATTTTCGTATAACTTTGCAGCCGGTTTCACATAAAGCATTTAAGATTTAACAAAACATTTTTGTTTTGTCATAGCAGCAAATTTCACTTTTGTATTTACCCAATAGTTACCATGTACTACCTCAATATTTAGAATGTAATTATGATTTTGTTGCAGATGGTCCCTATCGAAGAGTTTGAGGCTTCGTTTCAGTTTATGCAAGAATGCGCACAGTATTTCCTTGAAGTTAAAGACAAAGACATCAAACATGCCCTTGCTGGATTGTTCGTAGAGATTCTTGTTCCAGTTGCAGCGGTTAGTAACACATTCTAGTACAAATTTAATACTGTACATAGGACAAGCCTAGTTGTTTTTAATTGTAAAACAATAAAACCAAAATTAGAGGTCATTAAGTTGTGTCAGATTTTAAATTTAATCTTTTCAGCCTCATTGTTAAGGCCTTTCTTAGAATGTTAATTATGAACAACAGTTTCAGGAAAGTATTTTTTATTTGTTGTTTGAGTCCACCTTGGCCCAAGAACACAAACAAAATTACAATATACAAAAGTTAGATAGTTTTCATTGTCACTGTCAATTGTTATTTTCAACCAAGGAAAGTTTTGAGTAAGGAAGAAAGATTTCCTAATTTAAATTATTGGGTAGGGCTATAGTGTCATTCTTTTGTCCTTGGTCCAAAATCCTCCTTTTCATAGGTAAGCCTGTCATCCAGAAAGTAACCGCTGAAATATATCTTACATAATTATCCGATTTTTTTAAAGTTTCTGTGTTGTCTTATGCCTGGGTGAAACCTTTCCCATAGGTAAGTTTGTTTTCTGTGTTAAATCCTTAATTCCTGAAAGTAAGTATTTAACTATTTCATTCCTTTTGCAGACAGTGAAAAATGAAGTGAATGTCCCGTGTCTCAAGAACTTCGTAGAGTCTCTGTACTCCCAGACTCTAGATATGTGCACCAAGTCCAAACATCGTCTGGCGCTGTTTCCTCTGGTCACATGTCTACTGTGTGTGTCACAGAAGACGTTCTTTCTGCAGAACTGGCACTATTTCCTGGCCATGTGTCTGTCACACCTGAAAAACAGGGATCCGAAAATGTGCCGAGTGGCTTTAGGTAAGTGGCAAATTTTTGGTGGTTGGGGTGGAGCTACCAGTTGCTATGTCTTTTGGTCATTTGCAGCACCCTCAACTCAGTCTATGACTTGAGCTATTGGAGAATTCTTACAGCTGTAGAACATAATTTTTTTTAATTTCTCTCTGGATTTGGAGTTATTCAAGTTATTGTGTGATGAGAAAGTTTAGAAAGTATGATTTTCATATGTTAGAAATAGTAGTAGTTTTCATGATGAAAAAATTTGGGGATACGTATTCAGCATTGAATGTATTCAGTAAAGCCAGGAGTAACCCATTACAGCAAAAAAGTGAAATACAGAAATCTGTGACGTTACCAGCACACAAAACCATAACATTGCGGCCTTAGATTCATAGCCTGTCTGTAGTGATATCGACTCGCACTTAGGAGGACTGTCAAGTCATAAGATAAAGTACTGTCTTCGACTATTAATGAAACTAGACATTCCATCCACATGTTAAATTTTGTAGCCAGTTTTTTTTTACCAAAATCGTTGTAGTTGATGTGAGCCACCGACAGATTGTGCTGATCTAAATTACTGATTTCTGTCGCAAATACAATGTTTTTTACAGATTCAATATACTGTAATGGAATGACTTATTTTGAGCTATAGCAAATGTTATGACCCATAAACTTAGCCAGCAACAAAAAATAAGGTAGAAAATAGATTTTTAGTCACTAGTGCCTTCTGTGACTGACTCACACAACTACGTTCTTTTTTTTAACAAAAATTGGCTATAGCTGGTCCATATAGATGGGACGTCTAATTCAGTATCCACATGGACAAAAATAATTAAATATATACTGTCAGCTGTGCTGCGGTTACCATAGGTTCTGGTGTACACCGCTTGGTGCGCCATTAGTTACGGCGTATACACTATGTAACTACACGGCGCTCCCAGCGGTGTGCGCCAGAACCTTTGGTAACCATGCTAACCACAGCACTGCTGACAGTCTATATTAAATTCTTTTTGTCTATGGTATCCATTAGTCAATGATACTATTAAAGGTGATTCAAGCAACACAAATTTGTAATTATTCCTCTTTTCCGCAGAGGCCCTGTACAGGCTGCTGTGGGTGTACATGATCCGTATCAAATGTGAGAGCAACTCCGCTACACAGTCCAGACTGCAGAGTATAGTCAACAGTTTGTTCCCCAAGGGCTCCAAGGCCGTCGTACCTCGAGACACTCCGCTCAACATATTTGTCAAGATTATACAGTTTATCGCACAAGTAAGTCAACGTTTATTAGTTGTATAAGGTGTTACAATAGATATTGTGAATTTAATTGAATTGGGTTGACAGAAGCTTATTATCAGTTGGATAAAATCCATTTGTAATTGGCGAAATTTGAACCTTGGACCTCACAGACCAAAGTCCTGTGTTTTACCACTAGACGAATTCACTCCCCTGTGTCTCAAAATACTCGAAATAATCATTGTTTACTGGGATAGTAGGTTTCTAAAGACAACAGGCCTACTTTAGATCGTGTTTTTTTTAAATAGTCAAGATAGATTTCACCACATTCTGGAAAGCTTGCCACCAAATTAACTTCTAAGTACCTTTTATCAGTACAAAAGTTCTAAGTAAAAAGTTGAGTAATTTCTTACACATTAACGGCATCAACACAAAAAGGTGAAAGTGACATTTTTTTCTGTCACGTTACAGGAGAGACTAGACTTTGCCATGAGAGAGATAGTGTTTGACCTGCTGTCCGTGGGGAGACCGATCAAGATGATCTTGACACCAGAACGCATGTCCATTGGTCTGAGGGCGTTCCTTGTAGTGGCCGACAGTCTGCAACAGAAGGAGGGCGAGCCTCCCATGCCTCGCACATCAGGCGTTCTACCCTCAGGGAACACACTGCGGGTCAAGAAGACGTTTCTCAACAAGGTACTGTTTTGTATTAATATCGTGCTCGATGACTGCTGAAATATTTCAGTTTGATTCGTCTGCATCAGGGGTGCATTTTAAAATGTCTGATATTTTACTTCAACCTGGACCAAAATATAGTAGGGTGTTTTAAGAGGTGATTCCTAAAAAACTTTATCTTTTATTGGACGATATCCAGGTGTAGCTTCCTATCAAAAGACAAAATAGATTTTTACCAAACCTTCATCGATTTATGTGCATGTATTTGGTAAATGAAAAATCAAAACCCAACACTGATAGCACTTCCTGATAATATATTTTGGAAAATAATGATGGGAAATTGTTAAATATTCTACATTAATTGTGATACACATTCTGTTCCGCCAGATGCTGACGGAGGACACAGCGCGTAGTATTGGCATGTCAGCGTACTTCCCTCACGTCAGACGAGTGTTTGTGGATATTCTGAGAGCCCTTGACGTCCACTACGGCCGTCCACTCATGATGACTAGCACTCAGAATGTGAACAAGGTAAGGTGTAGAACTTTATGTGTGGTTGGAGTCGTAGTGATAGATTGGTGAACATTAAATTGAATATAACTACTTTAAAGTAAGACCAGAACTCTTAAAATAATTATTTATTGTCAAAACTTTTAAATGCATCCAGGATTTAGGTTAAAAATGGAAAAAATATTGGTTAGCTTCTATCTTCTAGGCTAAAAGTATAAATTTTAGATTTCTGACCAATTAAATATCTTAAGCCAGTTCTTTTAAAACACTACTACTAGTAACACTAGAGATTGTTGTTGGTTGCAAAATCGTGCTTTCTTGTTTATAGATATCTCACAGCTTGAAATTTGTTTTTAATTGGATAGAGTGAGAAGAGTTTTAATTTTTTATCTCGTATTTTTCTAAGAAATAACCATTATCTGCTTCACCAGCTTTGCCGGTAATGTAAACTGTACTTTGACAACAAAGCAATATTTTAAAAAACATTTTAAAAAGACTTAAATTAGTTTACGGTGGAGGACATTGATGGATTTCAAATTACAGAAACTGGGGGCTATAGAATGAGAAATTTACCAGGAAATGTGTTAAACCATTGACTTTGTGATGTATCATAATCATACATTATCGGACTCGAGTTCAAAGATTCAAAGATTTCTTTGGTCATTCAGTTCACAATAGGCTACATCATACAAGTACAATATAAACTAAAACTAATATGTATAACAAACCAAAACAATACTTCAAGTACAAACAGCAAGCCATGCAAAGATAAATTAAAAGCATACCTTTTTGTAGGGTAGTGGAATAACGATAACAGTTACTTTTGGTACACGACCAATCATAGGTTGTGCAGTTTCCAGTTTGGACTGCTGGAGGTTGACTGGGGCTGAGGAGATAGGTGGCGGTATGATGTAGCCTAGATAAAGAGAGGATCAGGTGATGTTGGGTAGTCTAAGCTTGGACTGTAGCCTATCAACGTATGGGCAAACTATCAGAACTTAACACATTGAAATAAAACAGTTATTTTCTGTCAGTACCAAAAGTATTTTTACGATTGTCATTGTTCCCAGGAGCCAGACGAGATGATCACTGGGGAGCGCAAGCCACGCATCGACCTGTTCCGCACATGCGTGGCCGCTGTGCCTAGACTGATCCCCGAGGGCATCACTGGCGCAGAGCTGGTGGACCTGTTGGCCAGACTGACGGTTCACATGGACGAGGAGTTACGAGGTCTGGCCTACCAGAGTCTGCAAACGCTGGTCATCGACTTTCCTGACTGGCGGCAAGACGTCATACTGGGTGAGCAGAAGAGGTTTTACGTAGGAAGTGGAGTAATCAAATTCAACCTTAGAGTAATCAACCCAATAAACCTAAGATAGTTTCAACCTTGCTAACAGCTTTTTGATGTCCATATGTCTGCAGGCAAATCCACTAATAGCTTCAGAGACATGATGTTTCTATATTCAAAGGTAAAGTAGTACAACATACCCTTGGCCACACTTACCCCAGTTTTAATGACTACTAAACACTGGAAATACAGTAGAACTCCAATTATCCGAACTCCAATTAACCGAATCTCCGATTATCCGAATCGCTTACTTCACAACAATTTTAAAAACGTAAAGCTACAGTAATAAGTTTTGCAAAATATCAAAGAATTGTTATTAAACACATTTAGCCAGTGTGTAATTTTGGACTTTGATGGAACACCAAAATTACACACTGGCTAAACTATTAACTTAATAACATGTATAGAATACTTGTACTAAGAGCATTCTAAACTGTAAAAATGTTCTGATTTAATTTATTATTAATTAAAAGTTCACTTAGTACAGAAAATTAGGATTTATCTTTAAAATTCCCGGAATTCCGGTAAAACTCCGATTATCCGAATATTTGATTATCCGAATATTTGATTATCCGAATATTTGATTATCCGAATGGGGTCTGGTCCCTATTGATTCGGATAATCGGAGTTCTACTGTCAAAATCCTGAATCAATATAATCAATCCCAACTGAGAAGATTAAATTACCTTATCAAAAGCTTAAGAACTCAAGAAAAATGCCAAATGTTAACTTATAAAAAACACTGTTCTTCTAATAAATTTCATCGTATAACCTACTAAGCAGGCTTACATACACACATATAAATATAAGATACAACATGGGTGGGGTGGCGGAACTACTGAGTGACGGTGGTGTAATGTTAGTGATGAACGTTATGGTACTGTGAGACTAAATTAAGCGTGCTGATTCATACAAATTAATTCATGAAGACGTGTTGGGGACCAGAGGACGGAGATCTTTTACCCAGACCGGAAGCTTGCATAGCCAGCTTTGATTTATGCTAATGAACTAATTTACTAAAAAACTATCCTTCCAAAACTTGTGACCTAGAAAACGACTGTGAATGAAAAGATTGGCTGGTGATTGAACTACTTAAATAAGAAATAACTAACAAATTCAATTTATTGAAAAGAGCTATGGAATCTTCTGGGGAAAACGTGTTGCCCTAATCCTGTTGAAGGTGGTCCGCCTCGAACCGTAATTGTTAATTCCTACATGTAATCCAATGTCGGGACAACCCTTGTAGGTCTCCCCCTTGTTTGCTAACTAGCCTGACATATTTATCTATGTAACTACTATGGTAATTATTCTAATAACTTAGCCATTTTGGTGAATTTTCTGGACAGTGGACGATCAGTTTCCTTTTCAGACAGTTGTAGACACGGCCGGGGTCGAAGTGGGAAGAAGGTTGGGAAAGGTTGGTGGGGGAAACCGTTTGTTTGCTCGCGGTGGGCTGACGAGTTCGCCATGCAGCCCTGCCACACGAAGCGCTGACACTATAATAATTATAGCGTGCCTCTATGCGTCATAAACAGAAACTGATAGTAAAATTTGTACATATAGCTATCACTGTCGACAACTTTCTGGTGACCATTAGATCTGAAAGCATCTATTTTTCCTAATTCAAACCTGAAATCCCTATCAGTGATAGTGAAATTTAAATATACAATTTTTTCTGTACCTATAGTGTTAGGTTTTGGGCTTCTACAGACAGGATGGATGACTCTTTCCCTTTCAGTTAAACCTGCCATCTGAACATGATAATTTTAAAGTACGTTTAGTCATTACCTTCATTTTCCAATAAATTAATTTAAAAGGACATGTAAACCAAAAACATAATTTGTTTCAGGTTTCACCCAGTTTCTGGCAAGAGATGTGCAGGACACTTTCACCCAGCTGTTGGACAACGGACTGCGGATGTTGCTACAACTCATCACCAGCTGGAAGAATGCTCTCGGCCCAGCCAAGGACAGGACCAAGGAGCAGGAGCCAAGCAGGGCGACCATCACACCACGCAGGCCGGACTTTGCCTTGGTATGTCCGGGGTGCATTATGTGACCGTAGTTAAGAAGCTGTAGCTGACTATTATTTTTTTGGTTAGAATATTTTACGGTACAAAAATGAAAGGACTTTTTGAATTAGAGAATTCAAAAACGTCTATTACACCTTTGTAAAAATCTTTCTAATGTAAGTTGTATATTATTTAAGAGTACTAAAATTTACTCAGTAATCGTATTCAAAAATTTTTTAAGGTGCTTCTAATTTTTTATAGTAACTTTTGACTAGGTATTATTATCTTTTTAAGTTATGCATGAAGCAATTACATTTACAAAAAGATAAGTGAGTCTAGCGATTCCATCACCTCCAACCCACTTTGAAACAACAGCCTACAGGTGATCAGCTGATATTAAGTTAAAAAAAGTGGTGGGGGAACTCAGGAAACCTTCTCCTCAAACCGCCTACATTTTGTAGAACAAGCTGAGACTAGTCCACAAAATGTCAGCAAATTATAATGGATGAAAACAAAAAAGAGCACTTGCATATTAGTGGTTTCTTTCCAACTGAAGATGTGCTCAGATTCAAGATCGTGAAACGTCACAAAAGATTCGTTTGCTTTCCAATAATGGAAAATGGCTGCCATAATCTTTAGGTTTTCTCACCTCCTAGTTTGTCCTGGAAGCTTATTAGCGAATTTCCCTATAGGGAAGTAGCTATTACCGTAGGTCTCATGGTAAGACCTAAGCCCGGGACCGATTTACTTTTTCATTTTGATGTCCCCAGAGGCCAAAAACACCATTCGTTCAAATTTGTATATATCTATATATAGAGATATATATATATATATGTGTCCATCCGCACGATAACTTGAGTAATTTTTGTCCGATTTTGATAAAATTTGGTTTGAAGGTGTAAGGCGGGATAAACTTGAATGAGTTCGCGAACCAGCATGATCGGACTATGGGAACGGGGGTTTATGGGGGGTTTTATGGGGTAAAAATAGGTTTTTCCCATTTTTGCCCCTAAAAACACAAAATTTCACAATTTCTTTTTAAACCATTTTGTAGAGCTTAAAAAAACAAATAATTTAGTATATTGAAGCGTTATTATGCGCCTAATTGTTACGGAGAAAATTCAAAAAAATTGTAATTTTAAAATTCCCATGTTATTCTTATGGAGAATAAGTCGACTGTTGCAGTTTGCTTGTTTATAAACATATTTTGATCGATTTTGAAAATACTTTTATTTCTTACTAAACTATTATCATTTTATAAAAAAATCTTTTTTGTCCTCCCTGTTGCAGCAAACCTAAGGTACTTGTTAAACTAATTCTATTTAAATAGGAAATAAATGTGCTATTTTTATGGAGGCATTTTAGTGTAAATCCAATCAGGTCAATGGAAATTCGCTTAGTCTGCAGGTTTGCTGCGGCGGGGGTATTTTGTCATAAACTTAGAACCAAGAATGTTCCAATCACATTGTATCTGTTGTCTAGAGGGAGCAGTCGGCTTGCAGCGTGTTTCATCAGGTGGAAGGGTTTGCTCTGGTCATGTTGTGTCACAACAGACTGTGTCCACGCAGACTGGCCGTACACATCCTGAGAGAGGTGAAGACACTCATCAAAGCTTTTGGTAAGTCTCAGGTACATTGTCAGGGTGTATACCCACCGGGAAAACCGGGAGAACCGGGAAATAAGCTTGAATTTGAAGGGACCTGGAAAAAACCGGGAAAAAGCCGGGATTTTTGGACCAATTCCGGGATTTTTATTTTAGCCCCGGTAGAAGATTGTAGTGGTAAAATACGTCTTGCCGCGATTGCGGGCGACGACGATGACGTTTTCGTGACCGCGGGAGACGACGATGACGTTTCAGTAATCGCGGGATACGACAATGACATCTACACGTCCGCGGAAAATGTTCATGATTTGCCGCGATTGCGGACGACAACGATGACGTTTCCGTGACCGCGGGAGACGACGATGACGTTTCCGTGACCGCGGGAGACGGCGATGACGTTTCCGTGACCGCGGAGACGGCGATGACGTTTCCGTGACCGCGGGAGACGGCGATGACGTTTCCGTGAGCGCGGGAGACGACGATGACGTTTCCGTGACCGCGGGAGACGACGATGACGTTTCCGTGACCGCGGGAGACGGCGATGACGTTTCCGTGACCGCGGAGACGGCGATGACGTTTCCGTGACCGCGGGAGACGGCGATGACGTTTCCGTGACCGCGGGAGACGACGATGACGTTTCCGTGAGCGCGGGAGACGACGATGACGTTTCCGTGACCGCGGGAGACGACGATGACGTTTCCGTGACCGCGGGAGACGACGATGACGTTTCCGTGACCGCGGGAGACGACGATGACGTTTCCGTGACCGCGGGAGACGACGATGACGTTTACGTGACCGCGGTATCAACAATGATGTATACACTGCCGCGGGAAATATTCATGATTTTGCCGAGATCGCGGACGACGACAATGAAGTTTCCGTGACCGCGGGAGACGACGATGATTATGTCTACACGGCCGCTATGATTTTGCCGAGATCGCGGACGACGGTGATGACGTTTCCATAACTGCGAGAGGCAATGATGATGTCTACACGGCCGCGAAGATTTTCGTGATTTGCCGTGACCGCGAAAGACGACGATGATGATTTCTACACGGCCGCGTGATATGCTCATGATTTTGCCGTGATTGCGGTCGACGACGATGAATATGACGTTTCCGTGACTGCGGGAGGCTATGATTATGTCTACACGGCCGCAGATGTTCATTATTTAGCCGCGATCGCGGACGACGACGATGACGTTTACGTGACCGCGGGATCAACGATGATGTTTACACTGCCACGGGAAATATTCATGATTTGGCCGAGATCGTGGACAACGATGACGTTCCCGTGACCGCGGGAGTCAATGATGGTGTCTACACGGCCTCGGAACATTTTCGTTATTTTGCCGTGATCGCGGTCGATGACGATGACGTTTACGTGACCGCAGGAGTCAATGATGATGTCCACACGGCCGAGGAAGATTTTCTTGATTTTGCCGCGATCGTGGATGACGATGATTACGTTTCCGTGATCGCGAGAGACGGCGATAATGTATACATACTGCGGGTGATGTCCAGGATTTTTTTATGATAACGTAAGACTGTGATGACGTTTACGTCACTGGGAAGCGACCACACGACCACAGGAAATATTAAGGATTTTGCCGCCGTTGATAATGTGTTCATAAAAAATGAAGATAATATTCAGGATTTTGCTGCTATCGAGAGAGAAGATGTTTCCGTGGCCTTAAGTAATTATGATAATGAAAATGATTACTATAATAAGGATTATTACTTTTTCAACACTAGCTCACTGGACTTTGAAACAAATTTGATGTAAGTTTATATTGTATACTTAAGCTGCAAGTCTTAAATTGATTATAGTTTAAGTGGAACCAAACAAATACGCGGGAACCTGGAAAAACTTCGAAAAACCAGGAAAAAACCTGGAATTTCACTTTAATCAAATAGTATACACCCTGATTGTGCTTGAAAAGAGTATACAAGAGTTGTGGAAAAAATTCAAATTTTATGAAACCAATTGGGCTTACTCATTTACTCATTGTTTTGTTAGTATTCAAACTTTACATGTACAGAAGAGTTTTTGTGGATTGACATCCTACAGTTGTGAGATTTCAGTTGGTTTTGAGCCCGTAATGTTAAGGCTAGGGCCCCCTCAGACAGGATATAACAGTAGATATGCCAGTTACAATTTTGTTCTAGAATGAATCAGTTAAGATATCTGAATGTTTCAATATTCATAAAATAACAGTTTATTTCACTGCTAGCTTATCTTTGACTATTATAATATTCATCTGGTTACCTGTGAAAGTTTTTTTACGTGACATTTTAGTTTGAATTTTGAATAATCCCTTGGACTCTAATTTTCCCTGGTAAAGTAGCTGAACTATTACAGTACTCTTTTAAGAAAATTTACTTTCTTTTTAATATTTTTATTGTATTCCAAAATTTTTCTAAATAAAAGCAATGTTTAATCAACGGCCTACAAACAAACAAAACGCAATAAAAAAAGATGCCAAGTTGAGTTGAAAAAAATTAAAATATTTAAGTGTAAGCAACAAAAGTAATCGCAAAGCCCTTTATTTCTATTGTCTGTGTGCAGGCGCTATGGAGGACGACCAGCCAGTGATTGATGTGATAGACCGTTGCTGTCCCCAAGTGGTAGAGTCTTGTCTACCATTGCTGCCACCAGCTGAGAAAGCTGCCGTGTTGTCAGTGTCTACTGTGGATCTGCAGTGGATCGCAGACAGAACGTCTTCTGTATGGACTGGAGGTAATCGTCACATTTGCTTGTGTCTGGTTTGGAAAATTCACAGTTTTTCAGTTATTCTTGATCATACTAAAATTAATTATTTAGGAGGTAATTTAGGGCTCTGTGATAGGTCCTTTTTGTGTAGTATTTTAACATGTATGATTGTGATTGTGAATGGCATTCATGTAATCTATGTAACTTCAAAATTTTAACAGGTTTAATTTTTTTGAACGGACAGATATGTTTAAAAGGTTGACAAGAGTGTGTATATATTAGTGTAAAGTAGCAAAGTTTTGATTCTGTTAATTTAGCAAAACCAATAAGTGTTTGTCAACAAAAGTTACCTGTCATAGAAAGTATCATATACTCCTTCATAATTGACTTCTTTCAGTATCTATACTAGAAAAGTAGACGAGTAGAAATAGGATTCACTAGGCTAATCGGATCACATATATCAAGTACTGTACATTGTACATCCTTGGCAATACCAGTAACACAGCTCTGTCGCAGGTCTAGCAGACGAGAACAGTTCCAAGTCCTCGGGCAGCAGTTTGGCCAGTGTGGCCAGTGACCCGTGGGCTATCTGTCTGTTTGGGTTCCTAGAGCGAGGTCGAGTACTGAATCTCTGTCCGGCCGCAGTGTCTCACTCGTGGCCGACCGTGTACTCCAGGCTGCACTCACTGTTCACTGTCATCGACCCAACGTAAGTATTGGCGTTCCTCAAGGCTCGATGTTGGGATCCATAATAGTTGCTGGTTTTGTGGATAAATTAAGTTAAATTAAAGTATGTATCTTATAATCTCTTTTTTGTTAATGTATATAGCTCAGAAATGAAAGAATTACAATGAAAAATTGTTTAATAATCTTGGTAAAGTTAGTGAAAAAGCCTTGTGGGTCTTTCTTACATTTAATCTGAGATGTACCATAACATTAAGAACTTTATCTGTAATTTTGCTCAGTGTTATGTACTTAGCCCACTCTAGTTAAGTTCAGTATGTTTGCTTTTATTGGGATGGAATTTTTCCCGACATCTACCAATCGCTTCTGATACCAGCCAATTGCAACTCACTTAAACCAATCGCGCATGACTCAGTCGATCACTTTTGACATAATTTGACCACAACCCTGTCGCACTAGGCATCTTAGTTAAAGATGAACATGTCTATAATATAAACATAGATTGTATGAGAAGATTGCTTTATTACTACATACATAACTTACTGACTAAATTTAGCCAACAAAGACATTTTGTTTTGATCCTCAACAATGTGCCTTAAAGGATCAAACTATTTTGTTGTATCTAGTTTTATCACTTGGCCACCAGCTTTATGAATATTTACCATTATTTTTCTCTTGTCACACAGGCCTGTAAGTGACAACAGAGCGTCTCTTCTGCGTAGTTCTGCGCCGCCTCGTAAGCCCATCACTGAGAGAGACATGCACCTGGTGGTGTGGCGCAACTACGTGACGTTTGCCATGAGAGTGGTTCCTCCAGCGCCGAGTCCCATCATCCGGTGCGCTTCTCCGGACCTCAGCCTCAGGTATGTGCCAGCATGATTTGGGAAACTTATTTATAATGCTTTGAAATGTCAAATAGTTTTGGACATCTATGATGTCCGTTAGTTTGTCTGTGGGGACAGACCATGGACGGTAAACCAAGTGTGTTAAAATATCATATGTTGTTTTTGCTGATTCTTAAGCCCATACAACGTGGGATAGTGAGATAACATTATGTGGGATAATATTTGACCATTGTCATGAACCCTCTGCTGAAGGTTTTCATATGTCAAATTTAAGATTGGGAAGGACAAGATTCTAATGAAGGCTAGGTGCTGTTAATGTTATTTTGGCAAAGTTAATCATTTACAGTTTCATCTGTCCTGGATAAGATCCATTTAATAACTTCTTGATCAGCATTGTACGTGTTATTAAATTTACGGAAAGTAAATAAGAGAAACGTCTTATAACACTTAAAAGATATATTTACGCTTATACTGTAACTCACAAGACGGTAAATATACAAAAAAGATGGTAAGTGGTGATCGATTTTGATTGGACAGAGCCATTCGCCTATTGGGTCTGATGATGATTGGAGTGTCCAATCAAAATCGATCACCACTTACCATCTTTTTTCTATATTTACCTTCTTGTGAGTAACAGTATAAGCGTAAATATATCTTTTAAGTGTTATAAGACGTTTCTCTTATTTACTTTCCGTAAGATCCATTTATTCTTACAAGGGTGCACACCAGACTGTTTTTCCGAGGAGATGATGAGGAACCAAGGTGAAATAAAATCAAGAACTAAGTTAAACTCATTTAATCATAGAACAAAACATAACATTATTTGTTTACATGTTCATAATAAACATAAAACCAAATTATCAGCTGATTCCAATATATTACACTTTTCCCTCCTCATCGTCTACCGCACCTTCTCTTCTTCGCAGTTGATCCGAATGTTTTCTTTTTATCACTCCACCACACATGACTTCATACGAGTATAAGCCATTGCGTTTGACTATGGTTCCTGCTATCCAACCAGGGTTATTCTCTTTTTTAATCCATACTTCTTCCCCTTCACTGAATGCTCTTAAGGTTTTCTTTTGAGTTGGATTTTGTTGTTCCTTCCAAATTTTCAGATCTAATTGTTGTCTAAGGTTTGGTTTCATGTTGTCCAACATAGTTGGCATTCTTCGACCAAGAAACAACTCTGCAGGGGCTCGTCCTGTTGTTTTTTGTGGGGCATTTCTGTAACTGAACAACACATTTTGCAATGCCAATGAAGAATCATTAATTTCTTGTTTTGTTGTTCTGTAACGCCTTTTCAAAGTCCCTATTAGACGTTCAACTAAGCCATTACTTCTAGGATGATAAGGAGTAGTTCTTATATGTCGAATTGAATGTCTCTTGAAAAATGCTTCCATTTCAGTAGAGACAAACTGTGGCCCGTTGTCAGTTACTACTTGTGATGGTATCCCATACCTGCTCATCCACGATCTTAATCTTTGAATTATGGCAGTTGAAGTCGTTGTTCTTAAACATTCAACTTCTGCCCACTTAGATAGCGCGTCAATCCCTACTAACCACATTACTCCATCAACTGGTCCAGCTAAATCCAAATGAACTCTTTCCCACACTTTTTCAGGAATGTTCCATGGATAGACCGGGACTTCTTCAATGTTTCCTCTGTTTTCTTGACATGCTTCACAAGTCTTAACATGCATTTCAACGTCTTTGTCAATGTCAGGCCACCATACATAGTATCTGGTAATTGATCTCATAGCTGAAATTCCAGGATGGCCACAGTGCAAAATTCTCAAGATTTTCTTTCTCATATTTGTTGGCACAACAACTCTACCAAACCACATCAAAACACCATCTTCAACTGATAATTCTTCTTTCCTTTGTTTAAATGTTTTAATGTTATCTGGTACCTTCTCCGGCCATGCATTTAGCACATAACTTTGTACTAATTTTATCTCCTTGTCCAAACTGCTGTTATGTTTGAGTTCCTTATAGGACACCAATGTCTCAACTTTATCCATGTTTAAAAACTTTATGTCCCTTACATCGGTAGCTTCTTCTCTGATTCTGATGGGAAGACGGGATAGTGCATCAGCACAAACGTTTTCATCTCCTTTCCTGTACTTGATTTGAAAATTGTACTGATTAAGTTCTAGGGCCCATCTCACCAACCTATTGTTCATTACCTTTGGAAGATTCCGGTTTTCTCCAAATATTCTTTGAAGGGGTTTATGATCGGTGACAAGTGTGAAGCTTCGTCCATATACATATTGGTGAAACTTTCTTACAGCAAATAAAATTGCAAGTGCTTCTCGATCAATATTCGAGTATCTTTTCTCAGCATCTGAAAGAGTTCTGCTAGCATACGCGATTGGTTTTTCCAGACCATCTTCACACTTGTGCATTAGGACACTCCCAAGACCGTCTTCTGACGCATCACACACCAACACTAGAGGTTTGGATTCATCATATGGAACAACTGTGTCTTCTTCCGAAAGAATCATTTTGACCTTTGTAAATACTTCATCTTCTTTCTCTGTCCAGATCCATTTCGATCTGTTGCTGGTAAGTCGATGTAACCTTGAGCACAGCGCATGCAACCTAGGGATAAACCTTTCATAATAGTTTATGGATCCTAAAAAAGACCTAAGCTGTTTGACATTTGTAGGTTTAGGTGCCTTTTGTATTGCTTCAATCTTCTCTTTTGTTGGATGGATACCCCGTTCATCGATAATGTGTCCAAGATAGGTGACTGAATTCTGCATGAATCTACATTTTTCTTTCTTCGCTTTTAGCCCTGCGTCACTCATTCGTTTTAATACTTCCTTTAAGTTCATGAGGTGTTCTTCTTTGTTTCGGCCCGTAATGATTACATCATCTAGAAGTACCCCCACTTGTGGTATGCCTTCAAGGAGCTTCTCCATGTATTCCTGAAAGATACCTGGGCTGGAGGTTATACCAAATGGTAGTCTCTTGTATCTATAGTATCCAACGTGCGTGGATATTACCAGATATTTTCTGTCTTCCTCCGATACTTCCATTTGGAGATATGCATCTCTCAAGTCGACAACTGAATACTGCTTCCCTCGAGATACTTTATTCGTCAGTTCCTCAAAAGTTGGCAAAAGTGTTGTATGGGTAACGATGTTTGGGTTTAAGGTTACCCGAAAATCTCCACATATTCTAATTGTGCCATTTTCCTTCTCAACATTTACTGTTGGTGTTGCCCATTCGATAGGAGTTTTGGAAGGATCTACCTTTTCTATAACACCATCACTTACCAGTCTGTTTAGTTCTTGCTCAACTCTACTTCTTAGTGGAAAAGGCACTCTGCGAGCAGGAAAACACCTAGGCTCTGAGTCACTCTTAACATGTATCTTCGCCTGATAGCCTTTAATTGTTCCCAATTCTTTCTTAAATACGTCACTAAACTCTGAAATAACTTGGTTAATTTCCTCTTCGGTTACTGTAGAAGCATTTTCATCTTTATTGGTGTTATCCAACTTACGAATCGTAACACTAGATGGTAATTTCATGTTGAAGGCAAGCATCCATGGTAATCCAAACAAAGGAGATTCGTTTCCATTTACCACAGCCGCCTTAAGTTTCCTAATCTGTCCATCAACTTTAACATTAACTTCACACTCTCCTAAAACATCCAGGGTATTGTTTCCATAAGCGACAAATTTTGTTTTACATGCCCTCAAATTTGGTGATCCAATTTGTTTCCACAGGGGTGCATCAATCATCGATGCTCTAGCTCCTGAATCAAACTCCATGGTTGTTGGTACTTCATTTAGGGTAACATTAATTTGTGCTCTTGGGATCTTCCTATTAGGTTTAAGTTCAGAAATTCCTAACTGTACCTCTTCTTCCTCAGATTTTATGTCTGTGTCGTTGATTTGGTTCAAATAGGCCTTTTTTGAACGACAATGTCGCGGAAAATGACCCATCTTTCCACAGAAGTGACATTGTTTTGTCTTTTTGGTTCCACATTGTCGTGAGAAATGACCTTGCTTTCCACATGAAAAACACTTAGACTTTTGAGCTGGACAAAATTCTTCACTGTGTACTAGTCCACACTGATTACAATCTTCTGTAGAATGGCTGTATGTTTCTTTTGCCAAAGATCTATTTTTCTTATCATAGTTATGTACCTTGTTAATTACAGGCATAGCTTCTTCTAAAATATTCATTTCCCGCTTAGCTCTATCCATCGCTTCAGCTAAATCTACCAACTCATTTAAAGTTAAACGTGAACCATCTTTATTATTGCCTTCTGGCCACCTTTGCCTGATTTCAACTTCAAACTGTGGAAAGTTAACGCCACCAGCAAATCTATCCCTTACTCTTTCCTCAAAATACCTGTCGTATTTACAGTAGGAGGCTAACTCTTTTAAACGCAAGACGAAATTTGAAAAACTCTCATCATTTCCTCTCACACATTTTTCAAAGTCTAGTCTCGCTGCAAAGATTGTTTTACTAGGTTTATAAACACACCGAAATGTATCAATCAGTTCAGTCATTGGTATGTCATAAATTTGCCTAGGTAAAACGAAGTTAGATACCTTTTTGAGGGGTACAGGTCCAACATATGCTAGAAGAAGATCCCTTCTTGCCTCCTCAGTTTCATTACTGTCATCACCCAATCCCTTTACCTTGCACATCAATTGGAAGTGAGCTTCATAATCCTCCCAGTTCAATTTTTCATCATAGGGTTCTATTGAAAACTTTTCCATTCTCTTTCGCACCTCTTCTTTATTGTTCCAACCAATATCTTCACATCTTTGGGTTCGTTTTTTATTCATCGTCGCCAGTGAAATAAAATCAAGAACTAAGTTAAACTCATTTAATCATAGAACAAAACATAACATTATTTGTTTACATGTTCATAATAAACATAAAACCAAATTATCAGCTGATTCCAATATATTACACAAGGTGTATGTATAAAATGGAAAACTTTGGACTCGCTACTCAATGATATATTGTAAAAAAAATAGTTAGTTGTAACTCTAACTCAGGCTTAAGCTACTTCTGTACTACTGGAGATATTTGAGTGATCTATGATGAACAAGATCCAACATTTTATTAATTTTTGTGCAATACTTTATGTCTTTTGTTTTAAGTTGGGCCTGGTTGCTTCAGTTTTGTTTGTTAAGTGTGTGTTTTGCTTGTTAACTTCACTGCTTTGCTTATCCCATAAGCTTCATCTATGAAATCTCAAATCTCCATTTCAGGTTTTAAAGATTTGATTTAGTTTATGGATTTGTCTTTCACGTTTTGTGCAGCTTTTGTTTGGAATTTCACTGATGTTATTTCTTCATTTATCATATATTTGGTAGGTATAGGTTATTTATGCCAGTTTTTCATCATTGATCTTCAGTTTTAATTTATTTGGGACCTTCATTTGGTATTTACTTCATCCAAGACATCGATTTACAAATTTAATTTTTCTCTTATGTTAAAATATTGGTTTTTGTATCACAGAATTTCTGAAGTGTTTTATTTAGGAAAATTTTAAATAGCTACAAAATTTATCCTCAAAGGAGCAAATCCTTTGAACATTCACGCAACCATTTCTCAGGATACAAATTTGCTGTGTGTTTTAATTGCTTACTCAGGTTTTGTTGTGGTGGGTCTGGAAGTTCATATTGTCAGCTTTTCTGAATTCTCCTATCCATCAGTCAGTTGTTTAGTGTACTAACCAAGTTTCCTCGGATAGTTTGCCCTCAGGTCGTATATCATCAAGTCTCTCGGACGACGAATCGTTTTCTGATACACTTTCCATTAACTGTGTCCCCACCCCTCCACCTAAACGACACAAGCGAAGCAGGTAAGATATCAGGCCATTTGAGTTTTGTACAGGTCTGTATCAAAATATCAGTTAGTTTTAAAATTTCATGCCACTAGATAGGCTAGTAAAGAACAGTTGATTGATGGATTTTGTCCAGGACATAATAATGACGAGAGACACATTTGTTGTACCGGTACATACAAAATAAAAAAAATAAAAAATTAGAGTAGGGGGCTAAGAGATACAATAAGAACACAAAATATAGGACTGATATTTTGTTCTAATAGAGGAATTTTTCAGAGACTAGGTTAAAGAGGAATGACAGCTAAAATTAAAAAAAGGGGAGTGATCTTCTTGGGTGTGTCGTGTGTGTACAGGTTTGTTTGCATGAGTACCTAAGATATTCGTGGAGGAATATTCAACAATAGGGAGTGGAGCATACAAAATAATAAAAGAAAATACACCAATCAAAATACGTCTTAATGTACACTTTTAAGAGTTTAAAATTAATCACAGGTGACTTTGAAGATTTTATTATTCATTAATATACACTTTAAAAAGTGAGTAATTTTCTTGAACTACTGGATTTATGTGCTTAAACAAAATTAATTTATAGTCACTCATATATTTGAAACAGTAAACAGTTTATAATGCCTCTTTTCCTAATCCTCCTCCTTTCCTCCCCTTTGCCCTCCTTCTTCTACTCAGCCTCCGCTCTCATCCTCTTCATACTCCTCTTAACCTCCTCCTCATCCCCTCTTCACCTCTTCATATTCTTCTTTACCCTCCTCCTTCTCCTTCCCTCTCCCCCTCTTCATACTCCTCTTTACCTTTATCATCTCCTTCTCTTAATTTTCCCCTCCTATTTTCCCACGATCCTTCACCCCCAATTCCTCCTCTTGTATCCTGTCCCGTTCCTTCTACTCTTGATACCTTGGTAGTTTCCAGTAGTTTTCACTTTGGTAACCCACTGTTCCTGTTACAGTTCTTCTCCAGACAGTCTGACAGAACGCACAGACAGCAGGGCTGCCAACCCTTCGCCCAGTGGTTTGTACAAGCTGGTGGTACCACTGCTGAGGTGTGAGGTGGCTGATGTCAGAGACGCTGCCGTGCACGCCCTCGGCAAAGTCAACTCTGACGCACTCAAGTAAGATTTTGCGCGTTGGTGGTCTAGTGGTTAGCTGCTCAGACTCAGACTGTGTGGGAAGGGGGGGTTTATTGACGGTGTATCCATACTTCAAACAAAGTCTGAGGCAAAGATAGTGAACAAACAAGCTAAATACAGTAATAAGTATTAACAATTCGTTTTACAGCCTTTAGACCCTGTTTATGAGGAAAAATGCTTCTTTAACTTCAACTGTAGTATATTTCATAAACTAATGCTAACTTGTACTGTTGTCAAGGCTCGCAACACATTAGCAGTTTTTATTTGATATTTTTGACATGTTGCTAACTTTAACAATGTAGTGCTTACAACAAAACCAGTCAGCGATTTGTTGATGAAAAAGAACAAAGTTGGAGGTAACAGGTAAGGAAGCATTAAAAAAAATTTTTGGGTGTTAGTCTCGTGGTTAGCTTCTCAGACTTTCGTGCGGGAGATATGGGGTTTATAAATCAAAAATGAATTAGCTGTCCATTCTAAAATAATTGTCAAATTTATGGTTAAGCCATTTAGATTAAGTTTTATAACTAATGTTGTATGCTTTGACACTATTCATGTATATAAAATGTATAAAGTGAATAAAGATAATTTGATTTGATTTGGGGTTAATATACATGGACAATGGACATTATCTTTCATATTTCTCTCTTATGGGTCCATGACATACAGAAAACATATTAGGAGTTTAGAATGCTTTCTCAAAAACCATTTGTGTAACTCTAAACAAAATCCCTGAAGTAGGCAGTAGACAGTAATTAAATAATAGGCATTCCTGTTGTAGCAAAGTTGCAGACTAAAATTCCTAGTTGCTCTCGAGTGTTCATTAAAACCATGTGGAACACAAAACACTTTTTTGAATAATTATCAAAGTCTCATATGAGTACTAATAAATTTGCCTAATTCTACGAATTTATATCCGTAAAACAAGCAATCTATCATGGTAGACAATGGTCAGCAAAAAGACCTGCTTAGCAAAAATGAAATATTTTACTTGAGAAGTAACATTCAAAATCACACAAATGAAAAATAATCATGATGAAAAAGCACATCAAAAGCAGATAGGCTAGTAACCTTGAGCACTGTTCCCAGTCTCCCATTTTGAATTTTGAATACTGGCTTTAGAATCTGAACTCCGAACTGAAGTATCAACCAAAAGAAATACATAAACACTATTTTTTATCTAACTTTTGAATATCCTATTTTTATACCATTCTGTATCCTTCATTTTGTGCAGAGATCTGATGGAAGAGCTGGTGGTGTATATAAGAGAGGCAGTGGACAGGAAGCAGGAGAATATGAGGCGCAGACGACGAAGAGACGCTCTCAGACTACAGCTGGTTAAAGTGTTTGAGCTCATTGCCGGCTACGGCACGTTTGGAATTAGGTAGGTCTGGGTGGTATTTGTGGTAAGTGGTCAGTCCTTGTTGTAGGAAGTGTGGTGCCTAACCTAACCTAACCTAACTCAGCAAAAGTGACAAACCACCATTGGCAAAAAAGGTCTGTAGGTAAGGTTAATGGGCTCAAATGAAATCTTTGTGGGTTGGAATCGGGTAAGTACCAAATTCACATATTTTTTTATACTCAAGCTAGGTAAAAATAAGGTAGAAGTTAACAAAAAGTAGTTTATTGTTGCATTTTTTTTATTAGTCGGAATGGAAGTAATAATAAAGTTGAGTAGTGAGATTTAAAAATATTTAGCATATTGTTACAAAATGCTGCTTTTTTTAACAACCTTTACACAATCACAATTGAAATGTGTGTCCAGGAGTAAAGTATACATTGGTAAACTCAATAAAACCATTTATTAAAAATATCACTCTTGTCACTTTATTTTCACAGACAACAGATGTCTTATTTTATTAATAAACTAGCTGTAACCCGCGGGCTTTGCCCCGTTTAACTTCTTAATTTTCAAGATGATCTCGGTCGCATGGCTCAATAATCACGTCCTGGTTGAAGTTCGTTCGCTACGCTCACTCACCTTTAGGTTGGAGCTCGTTCGCTACGCTCACTTGCCTTCAGGTTAGCTCGTTCGCTACGCTAACTCGCCTCCAGGTTGAAGTTAGTTCGCTACGCTCACTCACCTTTTGGTTGCAAATTAGCTGTTGTCATAAATGTAAAAGAAATAATAGTGCTGCACCCAACTTGTTTAATTGAAACAGCTGTTAAGATTCATTAATTCCATTTCTCATAAGGTTAACATGGGAAACTCCAGAGCCACTGGGGCGGACCGATTGGACGGATCACGAAATTGATGGTGTATAAACCTATTCCATGACATTCTACACGTATGTACCAAGTTTCGTGGCAATCGGTTCAGTGGTGTCTGAGTTTATCACTGCCAAACAAATATATATATATATACAAACATCCTCTTTTATACTTATAGATAATGAATTCCTTTTTTCTATCAACAAAGTTGTGTTAAATGTTACAGTAAAAGTAAAGGTAGGTGGGTCCTTACATTCCACAGTAATCATAGAGAATATTTGAGAACTGATAAAGTTGTAATGATATTGTTATCGATATCAGGTTAGAAAACAAGAGTATTGAGATTTCCAAACTAACTCTTCTCATCTGTGTTAAAACAGTTGATATGTAATTTATTTAATCCTAGATATTGCATCAATTCTGCAGGCAAAAACTAATTGTAATGTTGGCAGCTCTTGTGTGTTGGAGCGAGACTCGCAATCACTCCACCCGACCATCGTGGAGTATGTAGACGGAGCGAGACTCTGTCTGGAGGCAGAACCTGACAAAGAAGCTCTCAAAGACATCAAGCTTCACTTCTGCAATTTCATACGGAAAATGCTCAAGAGCTTTCAATGTGAGTAATAATTTGAAATGTGTTTTTAATTCAGTTTTAATACTACTCCAATGAAAGATAATAGTAATCCCAAGGGGTTCCAGTTGCATCATTTACATAGTTCTTAGTGAACCTACAAAGCAGTTATATTCTAGGTAACGTGCAAATATGAGGAATTGCAGTTCAATTTTATATTGTGTGTCTGAAACCAATTTGGAACCTTTTTTAATCATCCTAAACTCACTGAACGTAATAAATCCACATTAAAACAAAACACATTACAACATTATGATGTTTTGCTAGTTAGCTCTTAGAATACAAAACTCTGCAAAGAATATCTAGAAATACTGCCGTATGGTACTACAGTAGAACTCCAATTATCCGAACTCCAATTAACCGAATCTCCGATTATCCGAATCGCTTACTTCAACAATTTAAAAAACGTAAAGCTACAGTAATAAGTTTTGCAAAATGTCAAAGAACTGTAATCAAACACATTCAGTCAGTGTGTAATTTTGGACTTTGATGGAACACCAAAATTACACACTGGCTAAAGTATTAACTTGATAACATGTATAGAACACTAGTACTAAGAGCATTGTAAACTCTAAAAATGTTCTGATTTCATTTATTATTAATTAAAAGTTAACTTAGTACTGAAAATTAGGATTTATCTTTAAAATTCCCGGAATTCCGGTAAAACTCTAATTATCCGAATGGGGTCTGGTCCCTATTGATTCGGATAATCGGAGTTCTACTGTACAAACATCTTTGTTGGAATTTGTTCAAGATTCAAGAGGCACATTGTCCAAACATTTCTTCATGTTTCAGTGGAGACATACCCGACATTACTGAAGCGAGACTTGCGTCGCAACTTGTTTATCCTCTTCGCCGGATGGAGCGGCAGCTTTGGCCGGTCGTTGGCCTCCGCACTGACAGGGACGGGGGCTCCGCCAGCCCCACCGGCACCACCCCTGCCTGAGGTACCTGATGATGAGGAACCGCAGTTCTGTGCTCTGCAAGCCATGAGTGCCGTGCTGTGCTGCGGTCCGTGCTTTGAACCTTCGGCTCTGGCAGAGGATGGGTGTTTGTACCCGTGGTTGGACTCTCTGCTTGCTTCTACTGATGATAAGGTAAGTTTAGTGGATCTTTACATGTGGTCAATGTAAGGGGTTTCTATTGTGACTTTGTCCATCACCGTGGACAACTGATCTGAGTGGTGATCCAAGACAGTGAAGTATTGTTGCGACATTAGTCACATGGGCATTCAGTGGTCATTGCTGATATCTAAGGCTAAAAAAAATAATCGCATTGGAAGTGAAATTTCTTCAGACTCGACCGTCTGAGCGGGTATGACAGAGTCTGAGGAAAACAAACATATGCAGCACCATCTCCCCTTCTTCTACACTGGGCATTTTGTTTGGATATGCAGGGAATGGATTCTGTCCCTTCCGTGCTAAAGTATGAGATGCAAATAAGCCAGCTGAATTCTATTCCTTAAAAAAAAAACTCTGTTTATTAAATGAGTTCTAGTCCCCAGACTGGTCCCATGATTATACAAGTTCTTTAATAATGCTACAAGAATGCTTTAAGCAAGAAGGATATGTTGCAAGAGAGAATGTTGTGTCGAGGAATGTTGTTGTTGTTGTTGTTGTTGGAATGTGTGTGTGTTTTAAGGAGAATGTTGCTATAATGATGCTACAAGATGAAATAAAAGATCATAATTTAAAAACCTATCTGAAGCTACAAAAAATAAATCCGTGCAATCAGCTGTTTTAAAAATGAAGAATACAGGACCAAAATAATGTTTAAATTTGAGTTAACAGTGAATAACAGAAACTCATATTTTCGTATGCAGTATAAAATTAGCTAAATCGTTGCATTGATAATCTCAAAGTAAAGTGTTTTAATTGCAGTATTTGAATTAAAGCTTAAGAGTTAAGTGTATTGGAATAACTCTAAACACCCTCACAGTAAAAAAGGCCATCAGGCCTACTTAATATGTTGTGCCTCAATCGATATAACTGATATTGTGATATTGTCAGACTGGCTTTGTGATATCAGCTGCAATTGCTGTGTAATCCTACCAGAGATATTGCCATCATGTTGGCAACACTGTGATTAGGTAGGATTTGACACGTAACCGTAGTCGCCATTGATTATTGTTTGTCCCTACTCGGTGTCTATCAATATTTGTACTTAATTAAAAAAAGGTAATATGAAATAAGGAAGTAGAAAACAATTTAGTTTGCAAATTGTAAAATGTTGGACAGTGATTTTTGGTTGGTAAAAAACAGGTTTCTTGGATTCAGTTTTAATTGTAGAATAATTTAAATGTATGTTCACAAAATGCAAAAAATGGATTTTTAATAAGGTTTAAGACAGAACTACGCTAAAAATTACAAAATGAAAACTATGAATTTATTTTATTTTCAGTTTATGACCATCATTTTCCCACTCAGGTCTTTTTATGGGAAGAATTCTTTTTCTTCTCTTTTATCAACATTTCTCACAGTACTTTTTCATCTGAAGTCATTCTTACTGTCCTTTGTTCATTTATTTTGATTTGTAGATATTTGTTTTTGTCTTTTAGTGCTTTAAGTTTTAATTCTTGGTCTTCAAATCATCAATTGCAATTATTAGTTCCCTCTTGTCTTCTAAAGTTACAACCATTATTACAAACAATTGTATAGTATTTAGATAAACAAGTAAATTTTATTGGCTCAACAAATCTTTTATATTAAATATTGGCAATATTGTTGAATAGGGTCGTTTTATAATTTTGCTGTGAATTTAAGATCTAAAAAAATCCCGGTGTTCAAAGGAATGACAACAAAATTGGACGAGGATTAAATTCATTATCAGCATAACCAGTGTTGGGGAAGCTACTTTTAAAATGTAGCTTGCTACAACTACTGCTACATTTCCAAAAAAGTAGCTTCGCTACAGCTACAGCTACAGTTCCGAAAAAGTAGCTAGCTACAACTACAGCTACAATGAAATGTAGCGACAGCTACAATTTTAGCTACTTTCCCAAAGACGTTACTTTTTATTCCACGCACATTAGGTAAATGTAAAATTAATTGCAACAACATTTTTATTGAACAAACATTTAAACAAGAAATGTCAGTATTGTATCTAACATTACTTGGAAAACAAATTATTCCTAGATTTTATTTAATTTGTTGGCATTATAAACCTAAAATTACAACAACAGCATCAAATAGTTGGGTGTCCCATCATATTTAGTACTTATTTTTAAATATTGCATTATTTTTAAACATCTTATACGTAAATTTCATTAAGTTCAAAGGACATACAACCAAACTATATTTTAAAAGCTCATTTTATTTCTTTAATATAGAATTATTTATAGATGTCATATATCAACAATTAAGGCCACTTAAACAGTAAAACGATTATTTAAAAATATTTTTTTGTGTTACAGAGCCTAGCCTATTGAAATTAGAGTGTATTGCCTTTCTTTACTTTTAATGTTAAAAACTACATTGCTATAACTTTTAACCATAGTGATAAGTTACTTGTTCTATGAATAACACTTTTCAATCTCAAGAAATCGTCCTTTATTGTCATTATGCATAGGGCAAATTGTGCTTCAACCTAGTTGGTACAGAAAACAGTATTCAGCAACTTATCCTGAAATCGGCTTTTAATTTAAACATGTTGAAATTTGTAAAGTAAAAATAACATGTAGGCCTACTTGGCTATGTAACAAGTTGGCTATAGTAGCTTTGTTCTTGCAAGGACTAAACAGATATATTCCTAATAATTGAACTTGGTATTCGTCTTAAACCATAGCATAGCCTAGGAATAGTCCAATACAAGAGCTGTTAGCAGGAGCAAACTATGCTATTTTTTAAATGTAAGTTTCATGTTATATGGAGATTTTTTCGTTGCCATTATCATGTAGTCTAGGCATATCTTAAATATTATCAGGTAATTTCCTCTTTGTTAATTTAGTAAACCTTTGAAAAATCTTTGTAATCTAACCAAGGAAGGGCTTGTGATGATGAACCACAATTAACAGCTGAAGCAAAGGTTGATAGACCAGCTTTCTCATTATTTAAAGGTTTAGTGTTGGTTTCCATTAAAATCCTAGTTAAAACACTATCGATATAACAAAGAAACTAAATTGATTACTAATTTCCCTGTCAATCACTTGCAAGCATTCAATAGCTTGTCTTGTCACTGGTACCGGTAACGTTTAAACGTCGTCTGCATCTAGCGATTTTATTTTATCTGACAGTAATCATAGAGTAGTAAATTAAGGAAATGCGAGCTAAAAATAAGGATGACACTCATTTAATGGCCTCCATGTCCACACAACGTTGTAATAGGGAATGAAACGGCTGCAACCAGCTGTATGAAGCCAAGAAAGTAGGCCTAATTGTTTTGAAAATCTCAGTTTGAAAGATGTTGTTTCCCGTAAGGTTGAGGTTATGGTAAAAATCACTATCTCAAACAATGTTAATGTAGCGAGAAAAGTAGCTAAAATTCCGCTACAACTACTTTAAAAATGTAGCTAGCTACAGCTAAAGCTACTAAATCTTAAAAGTAGCGACGCTACAGCTAACGCTACAAAAAAAGTAGCGCGCTACTGTAGCGTCGCTACTTGTAGCGCGCTACTTCCCAACACTGAGCATAACTCTGTGACATAAAAGCTTTCAGTGTTTTATAAAGTTATGACAAAACCCAATTAAGGAAGGAAAATAAGGCAGCTGGCCTTTCGAGCCTATTAAAATCTTCTGGGACAAAGAAAGTCAGTTAAGGTGTAAGCAAATAATGCTTTTAATTTGGTCGCTGTCAACGTTGCATAACCAATTTACTCTGAAAGCCTTTGAAAAATGAACTCGGCTTGATTGCGCTGAGCTTCTTACTGAGCTAATCAACTCTTTCTGAGATCGTCTGCCTTTCTTACATTGTCTTTTGATCCTTTTAATGCATCGGAAGTGTTATCTCAAAACCATTGTGAATATTGTCTCGGCTGTAATGAAAAATTTTGTTTGGTTGGAATCAAAGCTATTTATAGTTTTTGTGACCTTAAGTTTGCTAAAAATATTTTCATAGTTTTAATACCAATGTTTTTAACAACAATGTTAAGCAATTTAAAAATAAGTAGTAACACATTAAGATAGTTTGTCTGATTAATTTCCACTCTTACAAGTAACTATGTAAAATTAACATTAACGTTAAAGTACTTCCTAAATTTTGAATTTTTTAGTTTACTAATTTTGTTTACTAAAAAAACCACTGATAAAACAAAGAAGAAAAAAAAAATACATTAACTGATGATAAAAGATGTGGCAGAAAAACGTTGATATAAGACAAGTCCGTTCCGAGAAAATAATTTAAGCAATACATCAGGAAAATTTATAGTTCAGTATATCCTTGATTGCCCTTCATCACTCAGTGCTTTGTAAACATTGTTTTCGACGGCTTTACTCCGTATGTCCTACATAGTCGCCTTTTAGAAGATTAGAGATCAAAAAATATTTGTTATAGGTTTGATATAATACCGGTTCTTAATAATAAGCCAACACAAATACTTTTATATATTGTAATTAAAGATACAGTATGAAATAAATAACTAGACCCAATGTAGTTTATTTTTTATTTTAAGGGGAAAACAAATATATTTTAATACCAAATGAGCATGAATTTATTGAAATAAAGATAGATAAAAACTCACTGAAAGAAATTTAAATACTTTAAGTGACCAACCACTTTGAGTGATTATTCAGAAATGATAAGCTGTACTGCAATTCTTTCTTCTTTCCTTACAAAACAGTCAATTAATTTTGATATTTAAGCATTAGTTACAGTAATTAATTACCAGAAAGCTTTAGCCATTATAAGGAAACAAAATACTCTGTCAAATAGTTTTCATCAACAATTACATTTTCCTCTTTTGATTATATTTGTTTAGCAAAATTAAATTGTATTGATGAAAATCAATTGCTTTTAAGTCAAAAACTTATTTTTCTTTTATTGTATTCAATTACAGATCACAATAGTTGTCTGAATCATTCTAAATTTGAATATTTAAACAGAATAATTGCATTTGGTCATATTGAAGGTTCAACAGCACCTGTGGTTAATTGAATAAATTTTCACTTTAATGACCCAGTGTTAATTTACCTACGTGTTTAGTGTCTATGCATGGTTCTAATTTTTGTTTAACTGTTTTAATGAAATATTTTATTTGATAATATTACAACTAAATACAAATTTTATATTTCATAACAACTACTGAGTCATTGCATATTTGAGACCATGTTTGAAGTGCGAGAGTTATCGAGCACTTCAAATGGTCGAAAATATCTATAGAGTGGGCCTATAGACCCACTTTCACTTGTGTTTTGAAGGTGTATTCGCTACATTACAAAGAATAAATATTTTCTTCATTACAAAACTCATAGAATTTTTTAGGATATGCCTTCAATTTAAAGTTAACATTTACTTTAGTTGTTGAAAATTAAAACAGTTGATAAAATCAATAACATAAATTTGTTTGTTTTTGTCGACAAAATCCAAAAAATATAGTAAACATTATTTTCGCATAGTAAACATTCTTTTGCCATAGTAAACAAAACAATGTAATGATAGATTTTCGCAGGTGATAAACAAAAAACTAAAACAGGCCATTTCACAGTAGTGTAGCGAAAACCGGTCATTTCACAGTGGTGTAGCGAAAACTGGTCATTTCACAGTGGTGTAGCAAAAAATCTATTTTATTTTAGAGATAGTTAACAGTAGATTTGTTTTTCTGTACTGTAATGCGTTTGTCAAGTCTATGGTTTTGATTGTTCCTTTATAAAAATGTTTTTAAAGTAACCCAAATATACAATATATATATATATATTTCATTGATAGAAGATAACAAATTTAATTTATTTGAATATATTTGTTGCAGATTTACAAGCTAACATGTGACACTGTGGTGCTCCTGTTAGAATGCAACCCAGACATGGGTTCGTTGCTTGATTGGGTAGTAGACCGTTGCTACACTGCCAAAGCTAAGGTGGCTGACGGTTGCTTTCTCGCCCTGGCTACCATCTTTAGTGCGCGGTAAGTCCTAATTTCCTTGTTGCAAGTATTGTTTGATGCTAGATTGTATAGTGAACTGTTGCTTTTACTGCTAAGGCTAAGTTTGTCGATGGTTATTTTCTCGTTCTATTAACCATCTTCAGCACGGTAAGTCGTAACTTTCCTTAGTAAAGGTTTAAATTACCCGGTTATGGCCAAAACGATCTTGTGTAGTTTGAACAACGACTACAGCTGTTTCATGCCGCACATCATCAGGTTAGAATGTCAGCTGATATATAACTTCCCTGTTTGCAAACACTGTTATACTAGATTCTGTAGTGGACCATTGTTACACTGCTAAGGCTAAAGTTGCCGACGGTTGCTTTCTTGCTGTAGCTATCATCTTCAGTTCACAATAAGTCCTAAACTTTAACTTTAAAATACAAGTATCTATCTATTTGGATTGGTAAACAAATGAGGAATTATAAGTTTTAATTTTGAGATAAATAGTTTTATTAATATACCATATTATTTTATTGTATTTCGAAATGTAAAAAACCCTCACTGAACATAACTTTATAAATTAGGCTACTTTTACAAGTTATCAACAACTAAAAACAATAATAATTTCAAAAAACCAACCGCCAAAGTGCTATATTGTATTTTCTTTTATTTCTGTAAATAATAAACATTACTCTCAATATTTGAGTCAATCGATACAGTAAGGAAACACGGACACAGATACGCCACACTGACCAGCGGTTACTGTATCAACTTGGTTAGTTGGTGGTTATACGGTTAATTGGTTACAACTGTTTTTACGTGACAGTTGAACCTCACACAGACCAGCGGTTACTGTATCAATTTGGTTATTTGGTGGTTAAATGGTTAATTGGTTACACGTGCCAGTTGAACCTCAGTTGGTTACAACTGTTTTTACGTGACAGTTGAACCTCACACAGACCAGCGGTTACTGTATCAACTTGGTTAATTGGTGGTTATACGGTTAATTGGTTACGACTGTTTCTACGTGACAGTTGAATCTGAGTTGGTTACATCACACAGACCAGCGGTAGCTGTATCAACTTGGTTAATTGATGGTTATACGGGTAATTGGTTACGACTGTTTCTACGTGACAGTTGAACCTGAGTTGGTTACATCACACAGACCAGCGGTTGCTGTATCAACTTGGTTAATTGATGGTTATACGGGTAATTGGTTACGACTGTTTCTACGTGACAGTTGAACCTGAGTTGGTTACATCACACAGACCAGCGGTAGCTGTATCAACTTGGTTAATTGATGGTTATACGGGTAATTGGTTACGACTGTTTCTACGTGACAGTTGAACCTGAGTTGGTTACATCACACAGACCAGCGGTAGCTGTATCAACTTGGTTAATTGATGGTTATACGGGTAATTGGTTACGACTGTTTCTACGTGACAGTTGAACCTGAGTTGGTTACATCACACAGACCAGCGGTTGCTGTATCAACTTGGTTAATTGATGGTTATACGGGTAATTAGTTACGACTGTTTCTACGTGACAGTTGAACCTGAGTTGGTTACATCACACAGACCAGCGGTAGCTGTATCAACTTGGTTAATTGATGGTTATACGGGTAATTGGTTACGACTGTTTCTACGTGACAGTTGAACCTGAGTTGGTTACATCACACAGACCAGCGGTTGCTGTATCAACTTGGTTAATTGATGGTTATACGGGTAATTGGTTACGACTGTTTCTACGTGACAGTTGAACCTGAGTTGGTTACATCACACAGACCAGCGGTAGCTGTATCAACTTGGTTAATTGATGGTTATACGGGTAATTGGTTACGACTGTTTCTACGTGACAGTTGAACCTGAGTCGGTTACGTCACACAGACCAGCGGTTGCTGTATCAACTTGGTTAGTTGGTGGTTATACGGTTAATTGGTTACGACTGTTTCTACGTGACAGTTGAACCTGAGTTGGTTACATCACACAGACCAGCGGTTGCTGTATCAACTTTGGTTAGTTGGTGGTTATACGGTTAATTGGTTACGACTGTTTCTTTGTAACAGTTGAACCTCAGTTGGTTACAACGTCACACTGACCAGCGGTTACCGTATCAACTTAGTTAATTGGTGGTTATATGGTTAATTGGTTACGACTGTTTCTGCGTGACAGTTGAACCTCAGTTGGTTACGTTTAGGCTCCTTGGGTGATCTGATTGCTTAATAAACTTGTTAAATAATGAATGAAAAAGAATTGTTTTAAAAATAGTTATACAGGGTGTTTTTTTTACGCAAATTAATTTACAAGTATTCGGGACACTGTTTAACGACAAAACAAGTTCACCAAATGTTAGTGTCCTGGTTTTCTATAATTCATTGCTGATCAGCTGATAACATGCATTGTTGCATAGTTGTCTATGACGTTTGGTGTCATTGGGATTTTATTGTAAATAAGACTCAACATAAAGTTTTTGCAAGCTCAAATAGAGTATTTACAGTAGGTCTAGGTTGTTTTTGTTTTTTAAAGATCCAGTAAGTTGAATTTTTGAAAAGTCTATATTAGTTGATTTATTTTATATTAAAATCACACATGGATCTTTAGTTTCAATAAACAAAGCTTTTCAATAGCATATTATTGTGTGAATAGAAGGAGTAAACTAAAACTAACGGCAAGTTGGGGAAAACAAAATCAAAATTCATAACCAATCTCAAGATTTCATTACAGTTCACGTCAACAGCCGACCAGTGACAAATAAAATTGATGAGATTTCAATTTTGTTGTCAGGAAGTCATTGATTGTTCATTCAGTTGCCCATCAGAGGTCACTGAATTGGTGATTTTAGTGACTATTATAATCAACAAATCAACACAATGCTGCATGTTACTAACACTGATTTTAGTAAATTTCCCATTTAGGGAATGTGCTATATTACTAGATCCATGATAAGTCTTAGACCCGGGACGGATTTTTTTGGTTTTTCCTCAGAGGCCAAAAAACACCACCCATTGGCATTTGTCTGTTTGCATATACATGTAGGCCTATATGTACGTTAGCAAGATAACTCGAGTAAAAACCGATTTTGATGTTTTTGGTACATAAACCTACGTTTATTCAAATGACTTTGTCAACCAGCATTTTGAGACTATGGAAACTATGGTTAGGGGTTATCTCATAAGGGGCAAACTTACCATTTCCACAATGGATAAACTTCTAATTTTTACAATGAAGTTTTCCCATATTTTACTGTCAAAACTTACACATTTCAAAATTTCTTTCTAAACCACTTTGTAGAGCTTTAAAGAACAAATCATTTTTTATATTAATGTGTTCATGTACAATTAATGGTTACAAAGAAAATTTAAAAAAACCCTAAATTTAAAATGTTTAAGTCATTTTTATGTTGTAGTTTGCTTGTTTATGGTTAAATTTTGATAAAATATGGCGAGTTTATTTATCTCATACCTATTACCAATTTACAAAAAAACACTCATTACTACTTCCATTGTATCAGCAAACATTTAAGCACTCGTTAAATCTAATATTATTTAAATAGGGAATTCATCTGACATTATTAAGTAGGCCTAAATATTTTAGTGAAAATCCAATGAGGCAAATGGAAATAGTCTGCAGAATTGCTGCAGCAGGGGTATTGTCAAGTTTTTGAAGTACTGTAGCACCTTAAGAAAAGAGCAAATGTGGGAAAAACATTCAATTTGTGCCAAAGATACAAAAAACATATTTTTACACTAATTTAACCTTGCAAAATTAAAATTAATGCTCAAAACATCTATAAAAGATAATTTCAATACAAGAAAATGTAAAAACTTTACATCAATTATTTTTTGTCTGCAGCGCAGATGTAATTATTGTTCACGATTCTATTTGTCGACTGCAATGCAGCTGTAATTACTACAAGGCGGTTTTCCAGTTCCACAGTTTTTACAGGACGATTTCGATCAAGAACAGTCAGAGTTGAGCTTGACATTTGCCAGTTATAAACCTTGCCTGGTAAATGAATTTTAGAGTAATGAATTAGTATTCTCGACAAAAAAAATTAATATTGATGTATTTAGCAAATAGTATAAAACAGGCACATTCCCTATCTGCTAAAATGTTTTTGTGATAAGACCTAGACCCGGGTCTAAAATTAACATGTTTTGACACCTTGTCGGCCTCTTGATGGTTCAACCTAAGAATTGAAACTAGTTGCCACTACCCAACGAAGATTTGCTATGCAGGAATTGTAAACAATTTAAGATCAAATTTAATATTCCATTTCATCAGTACAGATTTACGGAAACTTAGGTTTTGAAAGATTGAACTCATCGGAAAGTGTTCAAAATAATTCTATAGATAATAGTAACACTAGACTACAGTAGACAATGCAATATAAATCTTGCTTACGTTTCCTTAGAAGCTTCAGTCTTTCATTGCCAACCTCTTGTCTCCGAGCGTACAATAAACTGCTGTGGTAATCCTCACTTTATTTGATATTTCTTCGGAGTTTTTTTTTAAGTTATGAACTATTTTGTCAAATTTATTGATTACTCATTTAAATTAATTATAAAATTCTTATTAATAATCATCCAGTGTTTACGTAATGATTTCATATTATGAATATGATGCATTTATGTCTTTTAAAGATTAATTGATTTAAATTCTGCATAGAATATTAATACTTTTAAGTTTATTATAATCGTTTCAATATTTATTCAGATATGTTTACTTTCTTGTCATGGCCAATAACTGATGTATTAATTAATTCCTAACTGTCAAAAAGGAGATAAAGTTACTTGAAAAAACAATAAAAATAAGAAAATCAAAACAAAAAATCTTCACATACAGGGTTTTTAGTGTAAACAAATTGCTATTGGTAAATTGTTTTATTGGCAAAAAGTCTGTGGTATGGTCATACCTAGACCCGGGACCGATTTACTTTTTCATTTTGATGTCCCAGAGGCCAACAAAACAACAGTATTCGTTCATATTTTTATATATGCATGTTTTTGAACAAGATAACTCGAGCAATGGTGGTTAGAT